CAACTAAGAGATAGCATAGATAAATGGGACCTCATAAAACTAAAAAGCTTCTGTTCATCAAAAGAAATGGTCTCTAAACTGAAGAGAACACCCACAGAGTGGGAGAAAATATTTGCCAACTATACATCAGACAAAGGACTGATAACCAGAATATACAGGGAACTTAAAAAACTAAATTCTCCCAAAACTAATGAACCAATAAAGAAATGGGCAAGTGAACTAAACAGAACTTTCTCAAAAGAAGAAATTCAAATGGCCAAAAAACACATGAAAAAATGCTCACCATCTCTAGCAATAAAGGAAATGCAAATTAAAACCACACTAAGATTCCACCTCACCCCTGTTAGAATAGCCATCATCAGCAACACCACCAACAACAGGTGTTGGCGAGGATGCGGGGAAAAAGGAACCCTCTTACACTGTTGGTGGGAATGTAGACTAGTACAACCACTCTGGAAAAAAATTTGGAGGCTACTTAAAAAGCTAAACATCGATCTACCATTTGATCCAGCAATACCACTCTTGCGGATATACCCAAAAGACTGTTACTCCAGAGGCACCTGCACATCCATGTTTATTGCGGCACTATTCACAATAGCCAAGTTATGGAAACAGCCAAGATGCCACACCACTGACGAATGGATTAAGAAAATGTGGTATCTATACACAATGGAATTTTATGCAGCCATGAAGAAGAACGAAATGTTATCATTCGCTGGTAAATGGATGGAATTGGAGAACATCATTCTGAGTGAGGTTAGCCTGGCCCAAAAGACCAAAAATCGTATGTTCTCCCTCATATGTGGACATTAGATCAAGGGCAAACACAAGAAGGGGATTGGACTATGAGCACATGATAAAAGCGAGAGCACACAAGGGAGGGTGAGGATAGGTAAGACACCTAAAAAACTAGCTAGCATTTGTTGCCCTTAATGCAGAGAAGCTAAAGCAGATACCTTAAAGCAACTGAGGCCAATAGGAAAAGGAGACCAGGAACTAGAGAAAAGGTTAGATCAAAAAGAATTAACCTAGAAGGTAACACCCACGCACAGGAAATCAATGTGAGTCAATGCCCTGTATAGCTATCCTTATCTCAACCAGCAAAACCCCTTGTTCCTTCCTATTATTGCTTATACTCTCTCTACAACAAAATTAGAGATAAGGGCAAAATAGTTTCTGCTGGGTATTGAGGGGGAGCGGGAGGGGTGGATGGGTGGTAAGGGAGGGGGTGGGGGCAGGGGGAGAAATAAACCAAGCCTTGTATGCACATATGAATAATAAAAGGAAAATGAAAAAAAAAAAAAAGAATGTACTGAAAGTTTTCGAAAGTGGCTTTCCAAAAAATAAACAGATAAATGAGAGTTGTTGAAACTGTTCCAGGAATGGGGAAGGAGAGGATAAAGGAGAATGATGGAGGGGTGAACTCAACTATGATATAAGAACTTTTGTAAATGTCACAACAGTAATAAAAACAAATAAATAAAATTCAAAAAAAAAACCAAAACAAAAAACAAAAAAACCATCAAATAATATCAGAGCCTAGTTTGTAATTTCCATAGATTTCTGCAGTTAAAAATAACCATCACCAATTTCATGCTGCCAGCACAATGTCACTGAACACAGCTGGGAAAAGATGAGCAGCAGCAGCATACAGTAATATGGTATTTCCACCATATAAAAGACAAAAACCAAGAACAGAAATAACAGTAATATAAATGGATTAAATAGTAAGTGAAAATATTATAATTTATGATCAACATTGTAGGCAGTAACTTGTTCTTCTAAATTTAATCCTGTTGCTCTTATATATCAAGATAAGCAAAGAGTTAAAGGGAAGTTCTTAACAGACAAATTTCAGCTGATAAAGAATTACAGACAATAATTTTGCAACCCCTAACAAAAAAACAGTTCTAGTCAATCATCAAGGGATGCTAAATAAAAGTTGACAAGCCAGGCACTGGTGGCTCACATATGTAATCCTAGCTATTCAGGAGGCAGAGATTAGGAGGATCAAGTTTCAAAGCCAGCTCAGGCAAACAGATCCTATCTCAAAAAAAAAAAAAAAAAAAAAACACAACCACCACAAAAAAGGGATACTAGAATGGCTCAAGGTGTAAGCCCGGCATTCAAGCCCCAATACTGCAAAAAAAGACAAGAAACTAATAGTAAGATTGGCCTGAATTTGCTGATCAAGCTTAAGCTTACTAAAAACTAAGAAACCCAGAAATGATGTACCTTCTGATATGATGAGAATAAAGCAGAGTTATTTTCCTGGCTCATATACAAAACTTAAATCTAATTAAGCCAAATTACAGAAAATATGTATAATGAAGACCAAGTTAAAGGACAACTCTACAATATGGGCGATTTTACAGGGCAAATAACTCAGGTTATTTATTGGGAGGAAGGTGTTATGAGAGAAACATAACAAGTAGTGCAATTTCGATCTTGATTAAAACTACACAAAATTTGAGACAAATGGGGAAACCTGAATGGACTGTGTAATAGATGAAATTAATGTATAAGTGACAATTCTCTTAAATGTAATAAAAATACAGTAGTTGCATTTAAAAATATGTTCTTCTCAGTAAAAAATAATAAAGAACTTATGGGCCAAATGTTTGATTGTAGAACTCCAACAAAAGAGAAATAGCAAGAAGATGAGACTGACTAAACATAGTAAACTATCGTTGTTCAATGAATTGTACAAGGGCTTTATTAGACTATGCTCTCTCTGTATATATTTCAAAGTTCCCATGAAAAATAAAGCATGACACTTACCAATGAGATCACTTCGATCTAGTAACAACTCTAGATCTTTATCACTAATGACTTTTTCTCTTGATCCTTTTACTTCCCTATAAAAGACAAAAATGTTCAAATTTATCTGAATAAATCAAAACTATGCACTACATTGTTCTAAAGTTAGGAAATTTTACCCTTCAAGGATGGGGGTGACTCAAACGGCAGAGAGCCTGCCTAGCAAGCATGAAGTCCAGAGTTCAAACTGCAGTCCTGAAAAAAAGAAAACAAAAAACGAAAAACTTACCTTTCATAATCTCTAGATTTTAATAATTCCATTAATTCCTTAGGATCTAAGAAGCTCTTAGACTGATTTAATCCAGACTGACCACCTTTGAAATGATCTAGGAAAAAAAAAAAATTCAACAGTCAACATACTAAAATTCCTTTTAAAACTACAACATACATACCCATGAGAATGGCTTAAAATTTAATAGCGACTAGAAAAGTGTTAGAAAGGAAGAACAATCAAAACTCTCAGGCTTTACTACCTCCATTTCTCTAAGCTTGACAACAGAGACAATTTTCATCTTTTGTTCAAACAGACTTTGTTGATATTTTATTGCTGCTAAGATAGAATCTCAGTAACTTATTGCCCTGGCTGGCAATGAACCACAATTCTTCTGACCTCTACCTCTTGAGTAACTGGGATTACAGATATCAGCTACTGCATCTGGCTAAAGTGAACTACTTTAATACTACTTTATTTAGTAGTACTAAAGTTTAATACTACTTTAATATACAATTAATAGCTTAATATTTAATATATTAAGAACTTGCAAGTTTTCTTAGAAACTTTTGGTAAACAAATATCTTAGAAGAAATATAAATTAAAATCATATCAAATTCCCTACGACAAAGAGTTTAGGATATTGCACCTTAAAATTATCCTTGACCCCTTTCTCTGGGCCTCATCTTAAAAAAACAAAACTAAACTAAACACTAAGGCTTCTGTATAGTCACCAACTCAGCATAGGCTGTTAACAGCTCCAAATTCCCCACTGCTTCTTTAAATTGTGTTAATTAAAAAGGTAATAATAATGACAATAACAAAAATTTACCATACACACTTAATGTACAACTGAAGTAAGATTAACATAAGTATCATTTACTTTTGTGGATGATCAACTTTTCCAGTTTTCTTTTAGCAGCTGCTCTTTCCACAATTTTCTGATCAATAGTATTTGCTGTAACAAGGCGATATACAACAACTGGCTTTGTCTGACCAATTCTATGACATCTATCCTGGGCCTGAAGATCAGACTGGGGATTCTAAAAATTAAAAGAAAAATATCACCCAACAGTATTAGGTTTAAATGAATAAAACTCATGATATATAGGTGAAGTCAATGTTCATGAAGCCAATGAGAAATTTTTGATGGAAGTTAAACTCAATTTAGACTTCATAAATAAAATCACCTCCTGTAGAGCCTTCACAGTCACAATTTTTTTTTAAATAATCCAGAGGAAACATTTCAAGTTTTTACATGCTAAAACTAAATACTTTAAAATAACTGAAACTACAACACGTACAATGAAGGATTAAAAACTCAAAATGGAAATATAATCAGCACATACCTGTACTTTCAACTTACCCAATCACTGTCATAAATGATAACTGTATCTGCTGCAGTCAAATTAATGCCCAGGCCACCAGCTCGTGTACTCACTAAGAAAATAAATACATCTGGATCTGTGTTGAAGTTGTGCATCTAAAACCAAACAGGATGTAAACACAACAAATTACAAAAGAAACTAACTTGAGCCAAAATGATCTTTCATATGTATAAAACAATTACGTTAACTAACAAAATCTCTGCCCCGTTAACAATTTTTCAAGCATTTCTCAGCCAGGTGTCAGTGACTCATATCTATAATCCACTCAGGAAACAGAGATCAGGAGGATCACATTTCAAGGCAGCTCAGGTAATTAGTTTGTGAGATCTTATCTCAAATATACCCAATGGTGAAGTGGTACGTGACAGAGTGCCTAAAGCTTAACTAAAGATAACTAATATAAAAAAAAGATGAGTAACTACAAGTGTGGTTCACGCAGCAGAATGTCTGCTTTACAAGAATGAAAGCTCTGAGTTCAAACTAACCCCTATCCCCCAACAAAAAATGATGAAAATCATTTGCCTAAAAAATGGAATTATTGGAAATAGTTGTCTGAATAAGAGGATGAATAGAAAACCTCTGTACTGATGGTGATGTTCCCTATCTTGATGAAGGTTTAAGACATATTTTCAAATGCATGTTAAAACTCATGAAATATATTTATTTACTTCAGAATGTATCATTTTGACCACAAAATTATACTGAAGTCATTGTAGAAAATAGTAACATCTACAATTCTTTTGAAATGTATTAAGAGGATGGAATGCTGAATGGACACAGCCAACAGACTGATGCTGCATCACAGATATGTGATAAAAATGTCTGACAATGATGGTTAAATAGGATATTATAAAATTGTGCCAGAAGATATACATGTGTGTATACACTAAGATTTCTTAGTACCGTTAGTACCATATCAAAGGCTTTTTTCATCCAACCACAGGGTTTTTGGTCATTCTTATAAATTTGTATGTCTTTCTTATCTATTACTTCAACAATCAAGATAAGAGTTACAAAACAGAATTTGGTATATGACATTGGTCTTACATTTTTTTCCCTCTCTGAGTAAGACATGGACCCATCAAGTCTACTGAAGTTGAAATTTCTAAGATGACAGTAATCCATCAAAATGTCCAACATTCTTGTCATTTGTGAAAAAAGCAGCACCTGAAATTTAAATATGTCTTAATGTTTCTATTGATTCTTAAAAAACTAAACAACCAAATTTCCAATCAAAAGTATTACCTTATGACCTCTTTTTTTAAGTTCTGGCAGCATTCTATCCAAAAGTAAGAACTTCCCAGAATTTGTCACTAATTCTTCATCGATCTTAAAAGTGCACAGAACAAGAAAATTCTCAATATAATTATTAATCATTTGTTTTATAAAAATGAAAATTATTTGAATAGTTCAATTTTCAATGACAAGTCATTATACAACTTATTGACACTGTTATTCGATCTTTTTTTTTTTTACAAATTACCAGACACTGATACTGAGCATATTTCATTAGGATAAGTTTATTTCTTATAACCAAGAATAACACATACAAAAATTACTGCCAATTTTTTTTTTTTTCTTGCGGTACTGAAGGTTGTACTCAGGGCCTCATGCCAGCCATTTGAGCCCCCACTTAAGCCAATCTGCCAGCCCTTATTTGCACTGTGGGTATTTTCAATATTCAAACTATTTGCCTGGCCTGGCCTCCAACGGCAATCCTCGTAATCTTTGTCTCCCAAGTAGCTAGGATACAAGCATGAGCCACCGACGTGATTAGAAATCTTAACAGAAATTAAAGCACAGGAGTTTGTAAGCATCACAATTATTGAGATTAAGGAAATCTTTCACTTTTTGGTGAAATTACCACATCACAGAGGCATTTTAATTTGAATAGGCAAATTTTATTTCTTCCTTAGTCAAATATTAAACCAGTGATAGTCAAATGAGGGCAACTTTGCCCACCACCCCCAGGACTTATAGCAGTGGCTGGAGACATTTAGGTTGTCACAAATGGGGAAGGTATACACTACTGGCATCCAGAAGCTAGGTATGCCTCATGGTCTACAGTGTACAGGCCATTATCTCCTAAAAAAGTATTTGGCCAAAAATGTCAATACTGTCAGGCAAGAGAAATCCTATTGTGAAATAGTATGAATCAAGAGTTATTAAGGATTACCAAGAACAATTTATTTTAACATTATGCTATTTTTCCATTAATTGCACAAGAAAGCAATTCTATTCACATAATAGGAAACTCAAAACTCTCATCAACATTTTGGTTTTCTTTCTGGTTGTTATGAGCATGCAGGCTCATTTTGACAAGCTAAATATTAATTAAAACAAATACCGAAAAAGTGACTATCTCTGAAATAGAGAAAAAGAGTAGAGTGTAACTATATTATACAAACAAAAATGTCACTTTTTTTTCTTTTACAAAATCTGAAAACAAGAGGGTGGAATAGGTCCTGTCTGGCGGCAGGGCGGGGTTGGGGTGGGGGAGGGGGGTTGGGGGTAGGGGGATAGGGGGTGGGGAGTGGGTTGGCAACAGTTAAAATGGAGAGGATGTGAAGAAAGGGTATAGAACAGTGAATATAGTGTAAATACAGTATACACATGAATGTAAATGGAAAAATGAGACCTGCTGAAACTATTCCAGGAATGGGGGGAAAGGGGGAGGAAGGAGAATGATGGAGGGGATGAATTCAATTGTGATATATATATTTGATATAGTTTAAGAACTTCTGCAAGTGCCACAATGTACACCTACCCAACACGATAAAAAAAAGTTCACAGTATGAAAAACAGTAAAAATAAATAAAAACTAACGGTAATTCTTAGCTATTTACAGAGAATGTGTAATAAAAATTTTCAGTGAGTAAATAAAACCGTTAGTTGCACTGCACACAGAAGATAACCATCATTCTAACCCTCATGAGGTTCTCTAACTTTTGGGGAAGAATGTCTCAGCTTACTGGGATATTGTAATTTTGCTAAGATAAATAATACAGTATTTATTTTATGTAATAATAAATCAAACAAAATACTATTTACCCCAATACAAAAAAGCCACAGTAAACAAAATAAAACTTATTAAATGACATTCACCTTAAACTCTTGTGTAACAGGATCTATAGGGTACTCAATTAGATATGGATGATTACAGCATTTACGAAGTAGCATCATTATATTCTGCATCTTCAGATCAACTTCAGATTCTATAGGGATATTCACTTCCACAACAGTTCTATCAGAAGCAACAATATGTAAATATGAGAAATGCAAAAATCCAATAGAACTTAAAGAATATTTAAATTTATGTTCACACTCACACCTTTCTCTGTCCACCTCTGGCTGTATTTCACTGATTAATTTTTCCAATTCATTAGGAAAATCATCTATTTTGCTGTAATTTATTGATTTTCTAGTTCGCCGTTTTGGTCTTCCAGTAGCACTTATCTCAACTGTTTCTTTCTAAAAGAGAATTAATAGTTTGTTTAAAAGATAAGTAAAGTAAGGTGTAATATTTTTATGTACAAAATGATCTTAAGAATTAAGGAACGTCTTCTACAAGTTTAATAACTCTCTCAACATCACAATTACCAGAGATCCATAATATACAGTCAAATGTAAATGTTGCATGCACTTTTTTAAACCTAATGACAGTATCTGAAAGCAGTATGTTTATAGCTCCGTAAAGAAAAATTAATGATATGTAAAACTCTTTTGAACCTACGTAAAAAGATCCCTAATATTCAGTTACAATGATGATATCCCACCTCCAACCCTTGTAACATATGGGTGCCTACAGTGAATATTTCTTTCAAATATTTATTAATCCTGTTGGCTACCAATATATTACAAGGAATTATACATTTAGAACCATGATTCTTAAAAGCCTATGTGCTTGTTAAAAATATGTTTCCTGGGTCTTCGCTACCATTTCCTGTGTAGGGAACAGGAAATATTTCTCTTGCTCTTTTCTCCCTCCGGTACCTCTCCTAATAAACTTTACTGTTACTTTTACTTTAAAAAAAAACAAGTGTTTCCAAGTTCATTCCCAGAAAGTATAATCTGAAACATGAATCTTAATTTTGTTTTCTTTTACAGTATGCAGGTGCCTAACCTATTTTTTTAGCAAGCATTTCTGATGACCACAAAATATGAACAGACTATCATTTAAATTTTAGCGGGACTATAGAAATTCACAAACAACTTTCGCTTTTGACATTATTCCTTATATTTCAATTAGAAATTCAACCAATTAAGTCAAAAAAACAAATAGTCACACTGAAATCAACCATGAAATTTTATACCACATTTCATTTACTGTGTATTTCAAACCCATACTCTTACCTCAGTAGATCCAAACATTTTTGCAATTGTACGATTAACAATGGCTGTATAAAAGATCTCTTGTTTCTCTGAAAGTGGTGCATAAACAACTACTTCTCGTTTAGGAGGAACTTCAAGAGCAACATCAGATTTCAGTCTTCTCAACAAAAAAGGAGTTAGAATCTAAAATTTAAAGAAGAGTATCAATATTAAATATTCCTATTTTCAGGAAATACTGTCTCCACATTTCATACCCTTTCTTCCTATATAAACTGTATGGAACCGCAAAAAGTGACACTTAAAAGTATTACCTCCCTAAAATATTCCCATACCAGACCAGTATGACAAACTCCACAGTATCCATAGCACATTTCCTAATCTTTCAGAAACTTTATCTTGAATAATAATAAGCAGTAATAAGGATTAAAATTTAGTTCTCAAATTATAGTTTTAAAATGAGGTTTTGACTACTAGAAAAATGAACAGAGATGTTTCCTTAAGTCATAAAATTACTTTCCTTCACTACAAGCGACTATCAAATTTATAAACATAAGATAAAAATATTTTGTCACTAATTAGGCCTTTAGAAAATAACTACACTGGTTCAGCATTATTTTATATAATCTACAGCTTTACCTTTAAATCAGCTGACAATTGGATTACATATAGCAAAGCTCATTTGCAAAACTTGGTACTATTTTAAATAGTACCTATAGTAGAGAGCTGGACATGGTGGTGAACACCTGTGATCCCAGCCCCGGGGAGGCTGAGGCAGGAGGATTGTGAGCTCCATTACAGCCAGGGTTACATATTGAGACTTTGTCTCAAAAAAATCAGAAACAGGAACTGTATCAGAATAAAGACCACTACCAATGATTTAGGGGGAAAAAAAAAAAAAAACTTAGTAGTTCGCAGCTGTTTATCTACTGGGAATGAAAAAAAATGTAAATGTTTAGTAAATGTTTCCTTAATATGTTAAAAGATATTCATGTCTTAGTGACCAGAATGATGAAATACTTTTCTACCACTTGCACTCACTAATAAAGACATGTATAGAATATTTATAGATATATTTGCTAGTATACGAGCTTTCAAAATAGGAACAAGAAAAAGAATCTCATTTATACTTGGGCATTAGGAAAAGAAGTACAGGTATAATATGAGGAAAGGAAATTTTAAGTCTTCTTTTTCTAGTTTTAAAACTTTTTACCAGGAACCCTCTCTTGGGCCCCTCCCAGCTCTGAGAACTCTATGCTCTGCTACTTCTCTATTTCAATAAATTGTTACACACACACACACACACACACACACACACACACGATCATGTATTAAAAAAATTTTCTTTGGTGCTGGGAATTGAACCCATGGGTTCACACATGCTAGAAAAGGGCAATAGCCACTGAGCCACATTCTCAGCCCTTCTGTCTTCTGAGACAAATTATGTATCGGGCTGGTTTTGAACTCATGACCTTCCTGACTTAGCCTTCCATTTATTTGTAGGGTGATACCAGTTCCACCCCAAATCCCTCCATACAGAAAATGTTGAGAGCCTGAGAATATTCACTTGACTAAGAAAACATATGAGATTCTTAAACTGTCTCCAAATGATATCATTTTTGAATAAAGACTTTTCCCAGGTAATTCATTAAAACAGAATTAAAAGCCAAGCATAGAAGTTACATTAAAACAGTGTTATAGTCCAGGACCTGATGGATTTCTCTGCTGAATTCTATCAGACCTTTAAAGAAGAACTGATACCAACCCTCCTTAAATTGTTCCACAAAACAGAAAGGGAAGGAAAACTGCCTAACACATTTTATGAAGCCAGTATTACACTTACCCCAAAACCAGGCAAAGACACCTCCAAAAGGAGAACTATAGGCCAATCTCCTTAATGAACATTGATGCAAAAATTCTCAACAAAATAATGGCAAATCGAATTCAACAACACATGAAAAAGATTATTCACCACGACCAAGTAGGCTTCATCCCAGGAAAGCAGGGGTGGATCAACAGACGAAAATCAATAAACATAATAAACCACATTAACAGAAGCAAAGACAAAAACCACTTGATCATCTCAATAGATGCAGAAAAAGCCTTTGATAAGATCCAACACCATTTCATAAAAAAAGCTCTAAGAAAACTAGGAATAGAAGAAAGTACCTCAACATTATAAAAGCTATATATGACAAACCTACAGCCAGCATTATACTTAACGGAGTATGTATGATGCCCACTATCTCCACTCCTATTCAACATAGCACTGGAATTCCTAGCCAGAGCAATTATGCAAGAAGGAATAAAAGGAATACAAATAGGTAAAGAAACTGTCAAAATATCCCTATTTGCAGACGATATGGTCCTATACCTTAAAGACCCAAAAAACTCTACTCAAAAGCTCCTACATATCATCAACAGCTATAGCAAGGTAACAGAATATAAAATTAACATAGAAAAATCATTACCATTTCCATACACTAATAATGAACTGAGAAAGAATATATAAAAACAATTCCATTTACAATAGCCTCAAAAAAAAAAAAAAAATCAAATACCTAGGTGTAAACTTAACAAAGGATATGAACGACCTCTACAAGGAAAACTATAAACTTCTCAAGAAAGACATTGAGGAAGACTATAGAAAGTGGCAAGATCTCCCATGCTCATGGATAGGTACAATCGACATAGTAAAAATGTCTATACTCCCAAAAGTAATCTACAATTCCCATCAAAATTCCAATGACATCAAAGAGATTGAAAAATCTACCATTAAATTTATATGGGAACACAAGAAGCCACGAATAGCCAAGGCAATACTCAGTCAAAAGAACAACGCTGGAGGTATCACGATACCTGACTTCAAACTATATTACAAAGCAATAACAATAAAAACAGCATGGTACTGGCACAAAAACAGACATGAAGACCAGTGGAACAGAATAGAGGACCCAGATATGAAGCCACACAAGTATAACCAACTTATCTTTGACAAAGGTGCTAAAAATATAGGATGGAGAATAGACAGCCTCTTCAACAAAAACTGCTGGGAAAACTGGTTAGCAGTCTGCAAAAAACTGAAACTAGGTCCATGTAGATCACCCTATACCAATATTAAGTCAAAATGGATCAAGGACCTTAATATCAGACCCCAAACTCTGAAGTTGGTACAGGAAAGAGTAGGAAATACTCTGGAATTAATAGGTATAGGCAAGAACTTTCTCAATGGAACCCCAGCAGCACAGCAGCTAAGAGACAGCATAGATAAACAGGACTTCATAAAACTAAAAAGCTTCTGCTCAACAAAAGAAATGTTCTCTAAACTGAAGAGACCACCCACAGAGTGGGAGAAAATATTTGCCAGCTACACATCAGACAAAGGACTGATAACCAGAATATATAGAGAACTTAAAAAACTAAATTCTCCCAAAGTTAATGAACCAATAAAGAAATGGGTAAGTGAACTAAACAGAACTTTCTCAAAAGAAGAAATTCAAATGGCAAAAAAACACATGAAAAAATGCTCACCATCTCTAGCAATAAAGGAAATGCAAATCAAAACCACACTAAGATTCCACCTGACCCCTGTTAGAATAGCCATCAATAACAACACCACCAACAACAGGTGTTGGCCAGGATGCGGGGGAAAAAGGAACATTCTTACACTGCTGGTGGGAATGTAAACTAGTACAACCACTCTGGAAAGAAATTTGGAGGCTATTTAAAAAGCTAAACAGTGATACACCATTTGATCCAGCAATACCACTCTTGGGGATATACCCAAAAGAATGTGACACAGGTTACTCCAGAGGCACCTGCACACCCATGTTTATTGCGGCACTATTCACAATAGCCAAGTTATGGAAACAGCCAAGATGCCCCACTACTGATGAATGGATTAAGAAAATGTGGTATTCATATACAATGGAGTTTTATGCAGCCATGAAGAAGAACGAAATGTTATCATTCGCAGGTAAATGGATGGAATTGGAGAACATCATTCTGAGTGAGGTTAGCCTGGCCCAAAAGATCAAAAATCGTATGTTCTCCCTCATATGTGGACATTAGATCAAGGGCAAAAACAACAAGGGGATTGGACTTTGAGCACATAATAAAAGGGAGAGCACACAAGGGAGGGGTGAGGATAGGTAAGACACCTTAAAAACTTGCTAGCATTTGTTTCCCTCAATGCAGAGAAACTAAAGCAAATGCTTTAAAGCAACTGAGGCCAATAGGAGAAGGGGACCAGGAACTAGAGAAAAGGTTAGTTCAATAAGAATTAACTTAGAAGGTAACACATGCACAGGAACTCAATGTGAGTCAACTCCCTGTATAGCTATCCTTATCTCAACTAGCAAAAACCCTTGTTCCTTCCTATTATTGCTTATACTCTCTCTTCAACAAAATTAGAGATAAGGGCAAAATAGTTTCTGCCGGGAAGCAAGGGGGTAGGTGGGGGGGCGCTATGGCATGGGGGGGGGTAATGACCCAAACATTGTATGCACATATGAATAAAAGCACTCCAAAAATGCCACCATTTTTATAAATTTATTGGATGGATATATCAAAATTCATTATCATAATCTTTATATTCAAGTAAATTGGAGGTTTTTTTAATAAAAAAGTTTTAAAAAGTAATTCTAGGGTGGGGGTGTGGCACAAACAATGTATACTCATGTAAGTAAATGTAAAAACGATAAAATAAAAGGAGATTAAAAAAAAGTAATTCTAGCAGGCTCCCTAATGAAATAATCAACCACAACAATATTGAATCACATGGTGATGATCATTTTTCAGAACACCTTTTTAAAAGGACTCATACTGGAAAGAGGCTTTTTACGTATACCCCCTTTACATTCCAATTTCTACAAACTCCCCTTGACTTGACTCTTAAATAAATTTCCTAAGAATCTTAATATCAAAACACTTTACTGTGCCTATGTCAAGGCAAAACACACCTCTTTCTTAATGTTATTTGCACCTAATGTTTCATACAGTGGGGCACTTAATGCTCCTGGAACAATTATGAGCCTAGTGAAAATGTTTTAAATTCACAAACACACACACACACATACATACATACCTGCATAAAAATACCATAGTTTACTCCAAAAAATGTGCTACACTAGTAACATATTTTAACATATATTATAAACCACTAAGGTACACTATTCCAAACACATAGTTCACAAAGGAGCAACAGACATTTTAGTATTTCAACTATGACTGCAACACATTTAGATATATAGGCAATTTGATATATAGGTTAATTGTCTGTATTTTAAAAGCTAACCTTTTCACCCAGAAATTCTACTTCTAGGAATTCTCTTCTAGGGAAATAACCAGAAATGAACTAAAACAGAAGTGTAGGTAGTACAATGTTGTTTACAGCAGAGGAAAATTTTAAAATAATAAGTAGATATAATTAACTACAGAGCAACAAGACAATGGGATAGTAAGTCACTGTTAAAGTCTAAGGACAATCTACATGTATTAAGAGAGCATTGATAATTTAACTTTTTATTTCACAAATGACAGACAACACGCGTTTACAGAGACAGAAGAGTTGGAATGACTTGGGGAAGAGGAACTATTATTTTCACTGTCCAATTCCTTACTGTTTCACTGTTTGCTCATTAGCATACAATAAACTTTAAAATCAGAAAAAAATATAAGGTGTTTAAATAGAAGGCATTCAGGGCCATATGATGAAGGGATCTTTGAAAGATAGTCTAAGGTAAAGAGGGGATCACCGGTTTCTGGGTCCCCCCTGCATTCCCCAATATGCAGTCTTTCTCTTCTCTTCTCTACAAATAAAAATCTTTCTGACCTCTATTGTGGGAGTCTGACTGTGCTTTCATTCTCAGAGCAGGGTCAAGATCCCTGAGCACCTGAAATTCCTGCGCGCCATCCATGCATCATATTTGGCAACACACGAAGGGACCAGCTGTCACCTGAGAATCCTTCAAACTACAGATGCCTCTGGTGGAGATGAAAACGACCTACTACAGCGGTCCCCTTGACGACCCCTCTCGTCAGCCCTGATGCTGTGGGCCCCTTCCCTGTCAGCAGGAAGCAGTTACTGAACAGTCCTCGTCATCCCTACCCCTAACAGCAGTTAGGGTGACCATTGAGAGGGGGGAATGAAGGACTGAAGGACAGACCTCAGGAGGTCAAGGAGACACTTCTCCTCCCTAAGGATTTGCATCTGAAAGGCATCTGGGCCCCCAGGCAATGCAAAAATAGGCTACAAAACCCACTCCCCACCCTGGCCCATGGGATCACTGGTTTCCGGGTCCCCCTGCATTCTCCAATATGCAATCTTTCTCTTCTCTTTTTCTCCAACTAAAATTCTCCACAAATAAAATCTTTCCGACCTCAAAAAAAAAAAAAAATAAGGTAAAGAAGATAGAGTAGGGATTACAGGAAACAGTAGCATTAGACACCAGCCATGCAAAGAAATAAACCACACAAGTATTGTTGGCAAATATTACATGAACACATCTTCATTTTCTGGCTGACAAATATTTGTGATAAACCATGAGGGGGTTAAATAAGGATATATGAAAAAGAGCAAATTTTAGGTAAACGTGATTCGGTCATAAAACCCTGTGATCTCTGGAAGTGAAGAAAGGGCAAAAAACATCAATTAAACTTGGGAAGAGTCATTTTTCAAATCTCTACTACTACAAGGGGTTAAATAGATGGTCTCTAGGGTATTTTTGTATTCTATGAGCACAGTATGCAGAATAAGAAAATAAACACCTGGTGCAGCATATGCAACACATTCTGTTCTCTTTCTTTAGCTATAATATCTTCAGCAGTTTCAGAGAGACTAGTGATGTCAAACCAAGACTCAAAGCTGTAAAAGAAAAATGATTACAAGTTAACCCTAAGACATAAACTCATTTATATTAACATGACACAAGTTTTATAATTTCAGTTAATTTTTGTATTATTAAGAATGCAGTTATTAAATTCTCATACGCAGTTCTTTAAAAAACAACAGAAGACTTAGGGGTATGGCTGAAGTATAGAGTGCTTGATGGACCCTATATTCAAACTCCATTATCCCAAAACCAATCAAAAAAACCAACTGTGATCTGAAAGGGGATATTTTTTAAGTTAAAAAATATTAACATAAACTTGTAAGAGCATAAAGCCCAAGAAGACTAATGTAGCTTTTTTTTTGCTTGCTTTGTGGTGCTGAGGATGAAACTCAGGGTCTCAAGCATGCTAAAGCTATGACTCAACACGAAGACAAGTCTTTTTAATGACACATTCTAAACAGTTATAGAAGTTAACCAAGTTCATACCGTCTATCTCTGTAGGCATAAATCTGACCCAATCCCTCAATTTTTTTGTGTGTGGTGCTAGGAATCAAACACACAGCCAAAGCAAGCACTGTACAGTTGAGCTATAATCTCAGCCCATGGTTTTTACTAAGACACGGTCTAGCTATGTAGCACAGGTTGATGTCAAAACTCATCTTCCTGCCTCAGTTTTCCAAGTGCTTGGGTTATAAGCATGTACCACTATGGTGAACCCAACAAATGTTTCTAAATTCAACATACATATGTTGATAATGTTATCTACATACATCCTTAGTTCTTCTAATGTTAAAAAAAAACTACTCAAATGACCAAGCAAAAAGACGAACATATAATATAGGAGATAACATTAGCATATGCAATTGTGAAAAATGCTAGTTGCTTTTAACTAGTAGCTTTCAAATATGGATCGCCTGAAGTATGTTTTAAAAATTCAGATTCTTAGCTCCTACCTCAATATTCTAATGCAGTAGGTCTGCACAGGACCTGGAAAATCTTGATCATTAATAAAAATGTGCTTGGGTTACAGAAGACAACCTGGCCTTGGGCCAGCAATTTGGTAGTCAGATTTGGAATGCATAGTCAAAACATTGTAAATTATTCCCTTCACTGATGCCAACATAAGTATAAACCAATTCTTCTTTATTCATTCTTCTGTAGTATTTCCATCTTGATTATTTTTAACTTTTGATACCTCTTTTTCTATTCTAAGGACACTAATTATTTTCAGAAATTTTTTGTTTTTGAGATAGAAGCTAAAATTCAAACAGTTTCTACCATAAAAAGTGCCTAGCTGAAATCTGGAAACTTTGGTTTAATTTCTGCTCTGGTATTAACTAGTTAAATCTTGTAACAACTTTATGCCCAGGTTTTCTTATGTGTGAGGCAGGAAATGCGCTTAAACTCATTTGCCTGGGTTGTGTTTTGTAAAGATAAAATTAGAAAAATCAATCTGATAGCATTTTAGAAAGTTAAGACAAAAAAAAGTCTTAAACTATCTCAAGGTAGCATTTTTAGTTTTCCTTTAATCAATGTGAATTATTATTAAATCATCTTCTATTTATTTCCTCTTACATACTTAATGTTATGACTAAGACACACAATTTAAACCACCAAGAATCTTTCAAAACATATCATTTAAATCCAGCTACCTAGAAGGTGGCAGTTAAGTTTCAGCTAAGAGCACATACTTTCAAGGTTTGAGAACAAAAAAGAAGAAAACATTAAATAAGTGGCTTACCTACCTTTTCAAGTCATCAAATACATCTGGCAACAAAAAGTTTAGCAATGACCAAAGTTCTGATAAATTGTTTTGCAAGGGAGTACCAGTCAAAAGAAGTTTGTTATCAGCATTGAACCGTTTTAACTCCCTGATTAGACGGCACTTCATATTCTTAATCCTGTGGCCTTCATCTACTATTAAGTATTTCCAATAGCAATGCTAGAAAATGAATCGAGGGAAAATTTTTTAAAAAACAATCAAATTTTTTTTTTCCTAAAAGCATTTCTAAAAGATAAACTTTTTGTTTTAGAATGAATGGATATTGAATTTTATCATATGTTGGTATCAATTGAAAAAATCATGTTCTCCTTTGATGTAATGAAGTATATTAATGGATTCATCCCTAAAACCAGTGTATATGTGTTCCTCGAACAGACTTTCCTGTATCATGAAATAACAGCTGAAGTCCCTCATTAGTTCTGTAATCAAAGGAAACTGTACCTTTTATAACATTTGACCCAGTTGATATAAAATTCCTAAAAAAATTTAAAAAATAACCAAAGGTTTGCATTAGCTTCATGTGTTCAAAATATTAAAACAGAAGTTTTCGTTTTGAGGCATACATCTGAGGCTGACATTCTCTTTAATCTGACAATGTTCTCTCAATTTCTCTCACTTTTTTCTGGAGCTAAGTTTATCAACTTATATTTTCACAGAAAGTCACATATTTATTGTCACAAAGCTATCAGGAAACAGTTCTCATTTTTAAAATCTATGCATTCCCTTTTGCCTTACAGTTGAACAATCTTATAATCCATCCCATTTATCAGTTATTTCTGGAAATATACACAACTCTGGCAAGTACAGGTAACCTTAAAAAATATGACTGGCAAATTGGGAAAAGAGTATGAAATGATTCATCTTTGTATTTAATTTTATACAGTACATTCCCATAAGGAAATGGCGAAAATTACTATTACCTTTTAAATGTAACAACTGGAGATCCATCTAAAACTGCTAAATTAAGATACAAAACATAATTTGGAAATACATATGTTAAGGAAATGAGAAGAAACCTGAAAAACAAATTATTAAGTGGGCTCTGATACTACTGTTGTCTCTCAGGAACAGGAGGAGCCTCACACCTCCCCCACCCCTCCAAAAGTAAAATCCTTGAAATAACATTAGCTCAGTAAAGAGGAAAACCAGAAAAATTCTAGACAATGGCAAATGAAACTCGAAAGGAAGTTCAATTATTTCAATATGAGGAAGAAGAAATGAGAAGTGTTCATGTTATGTTATATACCTGAGTAGAAAACAAGAGCAGGTACAGTATGACCTTATGTATAAATTGCATCTATATGTTCACAGTATAAAAGTAAAATTCTTAGGTAGAATTAGAAGTATTTTCATATCTACACATTTTTCTATGAATAGAATCTATTATACTTTACTGTGAAGTGGTTTTGAATCTTAATACATATAATTTTAAACTTTTTATTAAACTTCTGACCTAAGAATGTTACAAATCATATTCCAAAGTTTCACCCACATAAATGGAGCATTTGACAAACACTGATCATAATTATGCATGCCATAATACTCTACTCATGACCTATGTGTTTTAATGTTATGTTGAGCCCATTATTTAAGCTACTCTCCTAGTTTCATTCATGTCAAGAAAAACTCAAGGCACTCAGCAGTGACATCACATGGTCACAAAAGGGAAAAGTAGAGAAGTAAAAGAACTTTGTAAAACAGATCCAGCAGTGAAATAAGGTCACATTTCTAACCCTAGTGTAGTAACACCAAAGTTAATAAATAAGTAGCTGTAACATCAAAAAAACACAAAACAAAGCAAACAAACCAACAAAAAAAAAACCCAACCAAACAAAAAGAAACCCAGACATGGAAATGTCACTCACAATAGCTTAAGATACTCTAAAAATAACTGTCTTCAAATATTATACCTGTATTTCAATAAAATAAAAACTTCAATGTACTCAAAGTACATGTCACAAACATCTCTAATATATTAACAGATTAGGTCTATGTCTGATAGATTATAACATATTTAAAATGGTATTGTGGTCACAGATTAAAATGCCATAGGTTTTAATTTTATTAAAAAGACAACAGTGTTCATGCCAATCTCTTATTAATATAAGCCTCCAGTGTCTAGAGGAATTCACACACTACAATCAATTACTTTGACCAGAAAACTTAAACAAATGCTACCGGCTGGTGAGAAAATGGTGTAAGTACAATGTGTTTTATGGATTACAAAGAAATCATCTGTACCTGTAATGCATTTCGGTCTCTCATGGCTATTTCAAATGATGTGATTACCACAGGATGAATCTGCAGTGTCCCTTTTCTTTTGTGAATATTCCTTACCAATTTTCGACGTTCCTGCTGGGTTCCATGATATAACATAGTAGGAATCTAAAAGATTTTATATTGTTTAAGAACAAAATATAAATACCAGTAATTTGAAAAATATGAAACAAGTAATTTTCTGGGAAACAAGGTAATCTAAGTTAAGTTTTATTTTTCTATAACAAAATGTGTCAATCTAACAAATCATTTTTGACAACCAAGGAGAAAAAGAAAAAAGGTGGGGAAAAAGCCACAAGACTAAAACCACACAAAAAAATAGTTAAGAGAAAGACACAGTTGGGCAAGCTGAAAGCTATTTCTAGAAGATAATCTTCTCATAACACAGGGATGTGCATAAGATAATGTGTTCTAAAGAATACACATTACATGGATATAGACTTTTTTTTTTTTGAGTACTGGGGTTTGAACTCAGGTCCTACACCTTGAACCACTCCACAAGCCCTATTTTGTGATAGATTTTTCCAAGATAGGGTCTTTGCCTGGAGCTGGCTTTGAACCACAATCCTCCTGATCTCTGTATCCTGAGTAGCTAAGATTACAGGAGTGGACCATGGGTGCCCGGCTGAACATTCTTAAATATCCATGAAAGAATAAACAGGATTTAAAACAAAAAATTCTACTTACATCTGTCTCAGGTGAATTAAATTATCCAATCCATGAAAACCATCCAAGAACATCTAAAAATATCTAAGATAGTAAAGTATCTAAGATAGTGGTAGAGTGGCTCAAGTGGTAGAGTGCCAGCTTCGTAAGTTCAAACTCTAGTACCACTCCTTTTACAAGTTAAAAATATCTGAGATTACCAATACCCACTCGTCTATGTAAACTTACAGAAAGGCACTGCTCATACTGGGTGAGTCAAATGCTTATACAGAGATCAATATAATTATAGTAGGAGGTCTACAATCTTAATTCCTGCAACAAAATTTTAAAATGTAATTAATAATACATTTGATATAAGAAAATATGTCTTACTTCTGGTGTAAATCTTTTGAATTCAGCCATCCAGTTAGGAAGTGTAGACAAAGGGCCACAGACAAGAAAAGGTCCAGGTACTCCTCTCTGAATCATTAAGGCAATAGTAGCAATGCACTGCACAGTCTTCCCCAATCCCATTTCATCTGCTAAAATGCCATTAATTCCATTTTCCCAAAGCATCTGGACAAAAGAATGTACAATGTATTTAAACTGTGATGTAAACATCTCCTGAGATAGCAATAGGTTACTCTTCTTGAAAAGTATACTCATTATAATGAGACTGACATTCACACCCTAAGTTATAACAACACTTACAAGAAATCATTTATCAAAGCCACAAAGCGTGAAAATCTAATAAGATGTTTTTCATTTTTAAAATTTATTCAGGGTGAGGCTGAGTGGCTTGAGCTTGAGTGGCTCAAGAAGTAGAGCACCTGCCTAGCAAGTGTAAAGCCCTGAGTTCAAATCCCAGTACCACCAAAAAGAAATTATCCAGGGTAAATAAATTGGAAAAAATTAAATGCATATATATATTTGTTTTTTTGTTTTTATCTTGGGCAGTACTGGGGTTTGAACTCAAGGACTCATACTTGGTAGGCAAGTGTTATACCACTTGCGCTACTCCACCAGCCTGTTTTGTGTTAGGTATTTTCGAGATAAAGTTTAGCAAGCCATTTGCCCAGGCTGGCTTCAAACCTTGATTCTCTTGGTATCTGCCTCTTAAGTAGCTAGGATTACAATGTGAGCAACCCTCACCCAGCCAAGTATTTGTTTTGTATATAAGATAGTAAAACATAAAAGTAACAACTTAAGTTGTAGTACATTAGATTACTTAGGCTATCACAGAACAAACAATATATTGTATTAAAACTGACAAATATGCCTGGAAGCAAGGGGGAAGGGGGGAAATTTTGGAGGAGAAATGACCCAAACAATGTATGCACATGTGAATAAATGAATAATAAAAAACTGAAAAAAAAAAAAAAAGAACCTGACAAATCATTACCCTAAGCCATTCCATGCCTTCTACTTGGTACCACCGCATCACTCCTCCTGTGAAATGCTTTGGTTGTTGAAAGGGAACTGGCTGTCCATTACATTTTCGAACTGGGTCAAAAAAGAATTTAGCATTCTGCCTAACAGTTTGAGACAATCTGTCTTTAATTATGCTATTTGAATCTTTATTTTTCTGAAGATCTTCCACACAGAGATTAGTAGAGGAGGAGCTGTCATCCTAAAAGAAAAAATGATTAATCAGATGTTTGATACAAAATGATGTTATACTCACCCCTCATTTATCAGAAAAATGTAACTAGCAATCAAAATCTAGTCCTCGATCTAGTACAATCCAGGACTGAGAGTGTAGCTCACATGGTACAATGCTTGCCTAGCAAACAAGATGCCCTGAGTTCAATTCCTAGTACTGGACTTCTTCTGCTTCCCTATGTAACCTTGTAATTGGAGGGGTTTTCATAAGTCAACTCAGGTAACAAGTAACTTCTCTATATAAAAAGTTGGGAGGAAGAGTAATATGGGAACTGAAATCAAGCCTGCTGAAACAGAACTAAACAAAATCTTTAAAAGCTTCCACCTGGTGCGTGTATTCGTGTGTGTGTGGGTGTCTGTAAACATGGCTACAGGCACTTGCATCACTGCTATGATTACAAGTTAGAAGCATCACAGATATATGCTTAAATATTCTTATGTCAAAGAATGGAATGCCTAAATTTGGTATCTAAGTAACAATGTTGATAAGAAAGTAAACGTACAGTTTTCTTTTTTAAAGCAGAGAAATAGAGTAAATGATGAGAAATGGAATAAATGGTAATTAAAATTACTTTCCTAAGCAGTAAGTAAATGACTCAAATTTAATTTTACATTATAAATCTTACCTCATTCTCCTTTTTATTTTTTTTAGCCACAGACAAAATTTCCTAGATTGAAAAACCAAGAAAAAAAATGTGAGACATTTATTTAACAAATATTTATTCTGTGCATATTTTATGCTAGCAGATGGTGGAATATAATGAAAATAAAATTTCAAACTGGTGGTCCTTAAGAAGAATTAGGCCTTATAGTCATTTTTTGCTCATAGTCTCCTAAGAAAATTTCTGAATTAATTGTCAACATGTTGAAAAAAAAAAAAAAACCTGGAATATTCCAGTTTAAAAAAAAAAATGCCAAGTACACTAAGTACATATTCACACAGGCTGACAATGAGTTCCAATCCAGTACCACAAAAAAAATCTAACAAAAAGAAGTCTATAAAACTAAGATGACAGTTCAGATTAGTCTAAAATCGATTGAAGTTTGGTAGAAAATTTCAATTTTTTGGCAGCTTCACAATATAAATGAAATATATTAAACAGAAAAATATATTCATTATTAATTGAAAGTTTCACTTGGTCACTTAATTCTTTTTTTTTTAAAAAGTGAAACAAGTCTCTCCTTTTCTCATTACCTGCATCTACAAGTTTATATATCTTATATTTAAGGGCCGATTTTAAAATATTAACCAATTTCTTTTCATAAAACCTAAGAGCAATCAAACTATCAAAAACATGCTAAAAAGCCATTAACACTAATTCTTATAGCTTTAAGGGAACTCGAAACCTACTATAGTTATTTAACATTGAATTATCCAGTGTCCTCTTCCTTTTATTTTTTTACCTCTTTTGACATGACCTCCGAAATACTGTATGTTTCATCTTCTCTTCCTCTTTTCTTTTTCATAACTATAAAAAAAATTTCATTTTTATAGTAATTAAAAGAAATAGAAAAACATATTTTTCAAATCTAGAAGAAGGAAATTTACCTGGATTCTCTTCACTTCCAACAACTGAATTTTTACCCTGCAAAACAAAGATTTAGAATGCCACTTTTACTAAGGGTCATTATGGTATTACATATTAATAGATAATGAAGCCAATGATGGTGGCTCATGCCTATAATCCTATTCAGGCGGCAGAGATCAGGAAGATCATGGTTTGAAGCTAGCCCCAGGCAAACAGTTCATGAGACCCTATCTCGAAAAATACTGTCACAAAAAAGGGCTGGTGGAGTGACTCAAGTGGTAAAGCACCTGCCTAGCAAGCGTGAGGCCCTGAGGTCAAGCCCCAGTGCCACAAAAGAAAAGAAGATATTGACTAACTTGAGGAAAAATGTTCCTTGCAATTGAACCACACCCAGTTTTTCCAAGGTAGAAACACAAGACCCCACCTTTAGAACAAAAGGGAGTCGAGTAAGGGAACAACCTAACCTCCGCAAAGTAAGTTGGCTAGCTCAAAGTGAAAGATGTATTAAGGAGTAAATGGCTAAATCCCATAAAATTTATGAATTTATGAACTTATGAATAAACATATGTTCTTCAGAAACCAAAAATCCCTAGGACTAGCAAATAAATCATCAGTTTTGAATAACTGATTTAGTTGCAAAAAACTGCCCACTTATAAAATGTCTTCAAACATAGTATTTAAGATTCTTTCCGAAGTGAGTCAAATTTTGACATAGTAAAAAAGTCCTGATAATAAGAAAATGACAGGGTCATACTTTAGTTTTCCTTCTATTTCTTAAATAAAAAGAAACAGATTTTAAATGTTTCTATGGAGCTTGTAACAAAAGTAGGTTAACAAAGAAAAAGTAAAATTGATGATGACATAAGTAAAAAGAATATAAAGAATTGCTTCAGTATTTAAGATCACATATAAAAACTATTCTGAGGGACAAGTGGTATCCTTCAGTAGCATAGCATGTGCTTAGCATATGCCAAGAGTTAATTGCCAACACTGGGGAAAAATATTCTGGCTTGCCTTATTACCTTTGTAGCTTTTAAAGATTCCTTTTTTCTCTCCAATTTCTCTTTCTTCTTCTGTTCCTGTAAGGTAATTTTTTCTTAGATCACAAGTGGGAAATGCAACACATATCTCAACTCTCAATTGTCATCACATTATTTTCACAATAGAAAAAACTAATTTAAAAACAAGGAAGAATGTGTGTATCACATCTTTATGGAATATTAGGGAACAGATTTATTATCCTGTCACAAACAACTGAAACCCAAATAAAATGTATTAGAAAATGGTTTTCAAAAGGACAGTAAACACTGACAAAATGGAAACAGATGATACAAATCTTCTGATTGCTCAGCTTACTGCCTGAAGGAAATTTCCAAGAGCAAATAATGGAGAGAGAATCCAAATAGGCCCAAGTTTCTTTGAGTTGAGGAGATAATTAAAAACTGAGAGCTGCTAGCATTCCCAGGGTCAAGTACTAGAGAGGAAGGAGCTGCACAAAGAAAGCTATAGTTTCTCTCAAGTCTTCAGACTGAATACTGATAAGTACATGACTGTAAGGAAATCAAGGCCAGGAAAAAGGCGACCAGAAAGAAACCAGTATAGTAATTTTCTGTTCAAAGACATTAGGAAAAGGAATACCTCAATTCCTCACCTGAAGTAGAAAGTCCTAAAATATAGAGGGCATAAGTATACTATTCAAAAGGTACTAAAAACTATTCCAGATATACCTTATATTTTTAAAAGCGAGACACAGAAAGATTCAAACCATTTCCAAGAGTTGGTTAAAACCAACTTATAACTCATGAGTTATGCCTTATAACTCATTAAACTACATACTTGTGTTTTTCTATTTGTTTCACTTCATTGCACAAAGATTTAAGAACTTCAAAGAAAAAAAGAGGATTTTCCAAATGTAGCAATTGATAATTATGAAATGAGGATAATGGAGTAATTGTATTATTGGGCCAGGTGCAGTGATTTACATGTATAACCTCCTTTACTCAGGTAGTGGGAATGGAAAGATCTTGGATCAAGTTCAGCCTGGGCAAAAAAAAAAAAGGCAGAAGAATGGGAGCCAGAAGCAAGCTGGGCAAAAATGGTGATAGGTAGCAGTTAGATATGAGCAGTGGAAAAAGGAGACAGGAAAATTATATTATTTTAATAAATATTTAAAGGGTCAGACTGGCATTGGAACAAGGAAAGAGCCAGAACAGCTAGCCTTTTAGATGCTAAAGTTATAGGAACAGGGAGACAAAGAGGAGCTGCCTGCTTCTGCTTTCCCCTTTTGAGATGTTAACAAGCTACCAGGATCCCTGGATGGGTGGAGAGCAATCAAAGGGAAGTTCTAAAGCACACCTATGGTCTCTGTGACTTGGGTGGGTGGTGGGTATGACTGGGTTTGATTTGGGAGGATTACCCCTCCCTGTTTTGTCAGCCAACCAGACCCATTATCATTGACCTCATGTATCCAGCTCTTCAGTATAAAACTAGGAATTGGGGACCACCATTTTGAGTCTGTGCTCCCATTTCCTGCATAGGACAGGAAATTTTTCTTTCTCCACACCACCTCCTCCCCCCCACTGTTCTTCTCCTAATAAACTTTACTACTGTTGCTTTTATTATATCTTTGAGTCTTGCTTGAATTCTTCTGCCAGGCAAGAACAAGGGTAATTTTCCAGTAACAATGGGAGACCCTATCTGAAAAATAACCTGAAGAAAAAGAGCTGGAGGAGTATCTTAAGTGGCAGAACATTTGCCTAAAAAATAAAAGATTTATTGTATTCTCTCAACTTGCAGAAGTTCCTTGATCTCTAAACATTCTAGTAGGAAGTAAACAATAAATATGAGATAATGATGAAATAGGCTACGCAATTGTTTAGAGGAAAAGGGATGCAGGCAGCAAAAAGCCAATGCAAAGACCCAAAGGCAGGAAATGCCTGGAGAATGATTTGAAAGGCCAGGGAGCTGAGACAGGCAACTGAATTGCTTACAGTGTTATACTTTATGGGGATCTGGTCTGTGAGAAACAAGCTAGAAGGCTACATGAATGAAACACCTACAAGAAAATAAGTACTGAAGAAAATATTCTTTATCCAGTAAAACTAACTTTCAATAAAATGAAGCAATCCAGGCAACGGTGGCTCAAGCCTATAATCCTAGCTACTCAGGAGGATCGCCCTTCAAAGCCAACCCTGGGCAAATAGTTCTGAACACCCTCTATTGCAAAAAAAATCCAACACAATAAAAGGCTGGTGGAATGGCTCAAGTGCTAGAGGACCTCAGTTCAATTCCCCGTATCAGCAAAAAAAAAAAAAAAAGCTTTCAGACATATAAAAGCTAAAAGAACAATCACCAATAGGAAATGCAAATGAAGCTGGAGAGGGTAGGAAGATAAGACAGAACCAAAAAAAAAAAAGAAAAATTAAGTAAGGGAAGGCTCGGGGCACCGTTCAAAGGGTAGAGTCAACTGCCTTGCAAGACTGAGGCCCTGAGTTCAAATAACATATCAACCCCCCCACAAGAGAAAATGCAAATCAATCTCTAATAATAGGAAACACACAAACAGAAATTTTGGTGTGGGTGATGGGAAAATATAGGGCAGAAGAATTAAAAATAGGTAAGGTGAATCATGTCCATTATCATGATTATGGTGGCTTCCCAGTTGTATTCCTGTCAAAACATAAAATTATGTATTTTAAATGTGCAGTTACTATGTCAATTAAACCTCTATGAAAGTAACACTTAAAATAATGCTATTTTAAAAATGAAATGCTTGTCAGGGAATAAAAGACACATCGTGAGTGAAATCTCAAAAATATACTGAGCATAGAAAAGACACAAAGTGCACACTTGTATGAATACTGAGGAAAAAAACCCTCAAATTTCTCCTATACTTAACACCAAAAAGACATCTATGAACAGTGTGTGAGGCAGGGGGGTTCTCCAAATATCAAGTAATCAATTATTCTACAGCTGATGAGTGTCCTCTAATTCAATTTTATTCTGATACTATCTAGAATCCCAGAGATTATGGGCTTAGTTAGTCCCAAAATTGCCTGCTTCCCTAGGCTCAATTAACTCAAGACAGCAGCTCACACAACTCTTCGAAACATTTACTAGATTATTATAAAGGACTTAACAAGATTATTAATGAACATTTGATAAAACAAGTGGATAAGACAAGTCATGGGAGAAGAGGCATGGAGCTTCCTTCCATCTGTTTCCTAACTGGAAGCTCTGCAAATTCTGTACTTTGGGGCTTTAAGGAGGCTTGACCACAAATGATCAATTTAACCAGCAGTCCCTCTCCATTCCTTAGAGGCTGGGAGGTGCAGCTGAAAGTCTGAACCCCCTAATCCTGTCTTTGACTTTCAAGTGTCCAACTCTATTCTGTCTAGGGGATCAGAGCTACTAGTTAACTCATTAGCACATAAATTTAGAGGACTCCAAACACTTTAGGAAGCATGCTAGGAAAGAATATATACTTCCTAACAATACAATGTTTCCATTTATTTAATATTCTGGAAAAGCAATACTGATCCATAGTTTCAGAAAACACATCAGTGGTTCATGATGGCACAAGATAATTTTTTGGATTAGAAATGTGTATTTTCTTGGTTATGCTGGCAGTTACACAGGTCTATACATTCACTATCCAAACTCATCAAACTATAAACTTGAAACCTGTGCATTTTATTGTACATAAATTTATACCTCAACAAAGATGCTTTTAAACATTTCTTAAGCAATTAGCTAGAGACAATCACATATACACATACCTCTAACTGCTGCTGTTCCATTTTTGTCAATAAAAATTTGGAGTAGATATTGCTTTTTTCAAGCAAATGCTGGAGTCTACGGTACCGAATTTCAGTGGATTCTCTGTCCCATGACATTCGAGCCTAACCCAAAAGAAATTTCCATAATTACTACATTTTTTTACAAACCTTGATTTTTTGCATAAGGTTTAATAAAAGTAGCTAAACAAACTCTTGAGGCTTAAGATATTTCCTTGAACACAATGAAAAAAAAATTCTTGGAATATTAACTGAAAACTGTTTTACCAATCAAAAACTGGAACAAATAACTGAAAAGATTCTTGGGTTCAGGGTTCAATAGGCAATCTGGTAATGTAGCTTAGATATAAAAATACTGAAATTTCAGAAAGTGGACATGATTTCTGTCATCTACTAAGTTGTAGGTTTCAAAAATACTTGAAATAAAAGTTAGAAAGTAAGTATTTAATTCAAGTTGGATTCAGTTTTGTTTTTGTTTTCTGGGGGGGGTGGGAAAGAAACATGGTCTAAGAAAGAGAAGTTCTAAAGCATCCTGTTGAGGCAGGCTAGGTTAGGAGATAGTCTGGGACTGCTCCCCCTCATGACTCAAGAGCTCCTTCCCCTACCCCACAGGTGAGAGGAGCCATGTAATGGCTCCCCACCTCCAAGTTCAAGGTGGCATAAAAACTACCTCCAAAAGACCTAGGCCCTTTATCTCTTCCCTCACCTGGCAGAACCAGTGACTCCCCCACTTCCCTCAATCTCATCCACCTGTTCTGCTTGGCTTCTTCCACCTGGAACAAGAAACTAAGGTCTTCTGTGAGGGAACTCCTCCCTGTCAGCCATCTCAGCCACCAGTCTTTGAAACTAAAAGTTGGGGACCAACATTTTGAGTCTTTGCTCCAACAGGAAATGTTTCTCTTTTTCGCCCACCCCAAACCTCTGTCTATACTTTATCTTGTTATACTAAAATAAATCCTTGCTAAAGCTTTCTCCTTGTGAGACTCCTTGTTATGAGACACCGTGAAGTGCTTTTCAATGTTTGTGGATCTCAAGGACCTGTGATTTTGCGTGGAAACTGTGAAGCTATGGAAGCCCCCTCATATGTCCTCCGGTGACAGTGGAACACCTGCTGAGGTGCTGAGTTCAAACCCCAGTAACACCAAAAAAAAGACATACATACTATATATACTTAGTACTAAATTGTATGGTACTAGCAATAAATTCTGAAAAATTCAAAGAATTACTAAAATCAGAGAAGTCAGATTTCAGGAAATAGAAAATTTCATTGTCTGAAGGATAAGTAAATGACAGCAAAAGAGCTCAAGTTTCACCTATTAAGGTAGAAGTTACTGCATTAAGCAATACTAGCCCAGGCAACTGCACTAAGAAACAAACATACTTGAGTAACTTTAGTTACTCAAGGGACTTTTATAGGTTTGGTAGTTCATACCTCTCATTTTATACAGTCTAGAAAAACTCTGGACTTATCAATGTTATCCAACTGTTTGGTGTCAGATTTTTTGGTATTTTTCCTTTTTTAAACTAAACCTCCTACTTTTTAACCAATATGAATAAAAATACCAAAGTCAAGAAAAAATAACCAAACTACCCTTTCTCCCAATAATTAGGTGGTTTCCAATTAGAGGAGTTAAAGCGTTTGAAGCTGGTTTGAAATGCGGGCAGGGGTTTGGGATACAGCTAGGGCCAGCTAGGGCTGAACACTTGCCTCGCCTCTGGGTTTCTTCCCCAGTCCAACAAAAAAAAAAAAAGGGGGGGGTAGGGTAGTGATAGGGATACTGTAAGTTCACTTTTTTACTCTAAATAATGCCTCTGTACCTTGCATGCTATTTTGGTGGTGTTAGTTGCTCCAGCTTGTGATCTCTCTGTAACATTATTTTATATGTTATTGGCTTATATTCTCCTAAATATTATGTTATCACTATATAGTTTTTTTCAAAATACATTTCTTCTATACAAAACCAATGGCATGCTTTCCTTCTAATGGTATCCTAATAAATCTTTGCTTTTTCCTACAAAAAAATACCTATTAAACAAAACAATAAAACAATGGCAACAATATCTAAGAAAGTTAAGATGTCTAAGAAACTGTAAACTACCTACATGCTCACAAAAATGTCAAAAACCACATAAATCATCCATCTCATTTACACAGATAATTTCTATTAACATCTGCTCAAGCTCAATTTTCCATTCTTTTACAACAGCCTTTCTTCTATTTATACACTACAGTGACTACAATAAACAATCAATGAGAGATGTGATTATAAAAGGGGGAGATGAAAACTACTTAAGATTTTCATAAAATTTTTTTTTAACTTTTAAGTGTTTAAAAATTTTGAGGTTTTAGACCTAGCCACTACACTAAACCCTGTTAAGGTGAATTAGCATATTATAAATATAAGCCATAAGATTAATTAATTCTTAAACTTGGTTTCCAGTATTCAAAAATTTTCCTATCCTTTGTTTTTGATTTAGCAATTTAAATTTAGTATATTATAATAAACTGCAGCTCTATCTGTGGAATGCAGTGTCTTGCAGAAGTTGTTCTTGGTTGTTACAATGGAAGAATATGCTGATAGACCCTGAGGGTAGAAATTCCTCACTGAGTACCCAATTATCATTCTCAATTTTTTTTTAAAGTGGAAGTTCTATTTTAGACTATATACAATATAAACCATTTTCCTTTTACCTCTCCAGGAAATCTTCCAATTCCAACCTATTCCCTCCCCTATTTCAAAGGTAATAATGCTACAATTTAAGTCTTCTAGACTAACAATGACTTCTTTTAAAAGGAAATGTAGGTGAAAAGTCAAAGAAAATTAACAGTGGCATTTGAATGCCAAAGTCATTCTCCAGGTTCTTCACAAAACTTAGAACCTAAAGTATAATAAATGCTCCCCATTGAGTAACATGTGCTAGCTCTTCTAAATATATGCACATAAATACTCTTCTCTCTTCCAAGGAGTCTTTCCTTTTATACACTAAGTTTATTGGCCTCCAATGACATGTTTTTTAATCTCAAAAAGGGAGATATTTTGGAAATTATTCAAAGAATTTTCTTGTCACCTAAGCACTTAACTTTTTATATCAGAATCTTTCAATACCTATACATGAAGAAACAAGGTCATAACAATGGACCTCAATACTACTTTTGAGCAAATTACATATTTGGGTAAAACTGAAAAGAACTATATATTTTTGAAGGAAGGATCTAATGTGGATTAAAAATTACTCTTTAGGTTCTATGATACGTAACTGTTAAAAGCTACAGAAGCCATGCCTATCCCTCAATAATAACAGTTCCAATAAAGTTAGGACTAATTACAAATGCTTATTCAGGGTTGAGGTTGTGGCTGAAGTAAATCACTTGCCTAGCAAGTTCAAGGTCTGGAGCTCAAACCCCAACAAGCTTGTTCATAAACTTAAAAAATATCACTGAAAGGACTGGGAAATGTAGATCAATTAGTAAAGCACTAGCCCAGAACAAGTGGAAACCCAGGGCTCAATCCCCCACATGATGGGAGGAGTGGGTGTCACTAAAAGTAGTTGTTTTTGACTCCCAGTTGATTTCATCAGCAAGTATTGTGAATTTTGACACAATATGTGAAAAAAATGTTTCTTCCTTTGAACCAATACTTCCTAGACACGTTTTTATTCTTACACTACCTCAGGCACATCTTTCATCACATGGTATTTGCCTTCTCTTAATGGATATATGAAGACAAAGGATAAAAGTGAAAATATACTCCTCAAGATAGAATTATATACTCTTACCAAGTTTGGAAGCTGATTTTATTCTGGGCACTTGCACCAGGACCTATATTTTACAATTCAACCAAGCTACATGGCTAGTAGTATATGTATTATATTCCTACAATTTTGTATGTAATACATATTATGTTCTTTTATCATCATTTAATTAGTTCAATTAAATATTTATCGATTGCCTACTACATTCCAGGTGCACAGCCTACAAAAAAACAAAACAGGCAGTTATGTACCCTAAAAAAACAACGTGAAAAAAAAAAAAATCAAGTAAGTTCATAATACAGTACTATGGGAATTTATAGAACGAGAAAAGGTGATTCAGAGCAGACCCCCCAATTCCTATCTTCCCTGAAGCAAAAGGGATTAATGTCATTTAATGGGAAATTTGTCAACACATTATCTTAATTGATTATGGTCAATCATGGATAATTAGTAATAACAGAACTAGCATTACTGAAATGAAATTATACCATGGTAGTTAAAAGTGCGAATTCTGGAAGAACAGTCTATATTCAAATCTTTTTCATTTTTTTTTGGCAGGACTGGGGTTTGAACTATGGGCCTCACCCTTGCTAGGCTCTATCATTTGCTACCTATGAGATTTCAAGCAATCTCCATGTAACTCCATTTCCTCATCCATACAATAAGGAGAATACTACAACCTACCTGCTTCATAGAATAATTCAATAATTGTAATAGTTTATACTAGTAATTAAACTTGTCCACTCTAGGGCTAGCAGAGTAGCTCAAGTGGTAGAGTGCCTGAACTTAGCAAGTGTGAGGCCCTGAGCTCAGCACCAGTACCACCAAAAAATGAAAATAAACTTGGCCAGTTTAATAACAGTAATGAGCTTCAAAACACCACATCTCATAGAATAGATGAGGGTTCAATCAGTAAATACATGTAAAACAATATTTGACATATTAAATGTTCATGAAATGTTAAAAATGATGACAAAATAATTATTAATATGAAATAGGGAACCATGTGGCTCACTACTTGTTTTTTGGAGTGCATTATTTCCCAAATTAAATAGTTTGATATTTATGCTGAGTTAATTCAGCATTCAATTAATGTGCACTTCCTGAGAGGCAACAGTGATGAAAGAATTCTGGAGACAGGCTGAATGGAGTGACCAGCTACCTCAGTTTCTTCATTTGTAAATATCTGTATTAAAAGAACCTCTATCACTGTAATGGTAAGACCAAATAAGTACAAGAAAATCACTAGGCAAAACATAAGAGCTGTCTATCATTCTATCACTTCTTGCATATATAACATTAAGCAGCAAGGTGGGACTTCAGAGTACCAAACAGGAACTGAATTTTTCAAAGGTTGAAAACTGACACAACAGTCTCTGTTTAAGAAAACCAAGCAAATACAGTAACTTGTCCTTGAAAACATAACACCTCATTTTTAGAAATGATCTTTAAAGAAAACAAAAAACAAGGTGATCACTTGGGAGAACAGCACTAAACTGGGAAGAAAACATTAGACCTGGATTCCCCTCCAGCTTTGATGGCCACTCACTTCTACTACTCTCTGTCTAGTACACTGCGACTACAGGTTGCCACCAGGCCTACAGTTAAGGTACAAATTTTTAAAGGATGTAAGGATGACAAAGGAAAGCTTTCAGTACTGATTTTGCAAGAATTATAGTGCTCAAACAAGCAATTTGAAATGCTCACTTAAAAGAGACTTACAGTACTTTATAGTCTGATGGAAGCCTATCAAAGCACGTGCAAAGGCTTTTGAACGATAACATCTGTAAACACACAGCGTTGATGGAACGCCACCCGGATAGTGCAGGGGGCCCGCGGGGCCAGTGGGGACGTACCTTCTCCAGCATCTTCCTCTCTCTCTCCAGTCCAGCAGCCTCCAGCTGCTCCTCCTCCTCCAGCATGGCCCGGGTAATCACAGCTGCCTCTGGCTGTCCTCCCATTTCTGGAGCTGGGGACCCTAAGAAGAAACTATCGCTTTTAAAGTCGCCAGCGATTCAACTCCGACATCACACGAGCTTCCTCTGTCCCACATGCACTTGAGGGGACGCCAGCACACCCTCGGGTTACATCCTAGGGCTTCCCACAGCCCACAGTTCGCGCGGACCCCAGTGTACAAGTCGGGATTCTGCGGAAAATACAGCTCCCTCCCACATCACAGACTCCTAGGTGTCCTCCCCTCAGCTACCCACTCCAGCTTCTCGTCCCTCTCTCCCTCCCCCAAGCTCCGACACAGCCTCCATACTGCCCACCCCCAACCCGAACGCCGCCCGAAAGGGTCTCGTCACTCACCACTGCTGCTCGCGGGCCGCTCCGCTGGCATGCTGGACACTCACTGGGAGCCGAGTCCTCTCCTTTCACGCCCGCAATGCCGCGCACTAATTCCTCACAGCCCCTGCCCGCTCAGCTCAGCCTCCTCACTAAATCCCCAGGCAGAGAAAAACGCGCGCTTCTCCTTCGCGGGAAAACCCCGTCATCTCGCGATACTTCCGGCTCCCCCGCCTGCTCCTGGCACCAGCTGAGCGAGATTTGGCGCAGAGTCGCGGGGCCATGCGTTTTGTCTCGGGGAGATTGGGTCCTCCCGAATTTAGTTTTTAACGACCACTGTGATGTTGTGCAGTCATCTGACTATGTAGGGCCCAGCCCCGTCATATAGCTGATATGATTCCGAGCTACTTCACAGTTTCTAGCGCTCTCAGCAGTTTGCCAGGCGCCCTCGCACACTCTGTGCTTGACTAGGCCGGCCGGTGATGCTTTAGGTAGGAAAGATGTATCCACGTGAGGATCTCCTGTGTAGCCTCCTCGCCGGCCACTCGCAGAGCCTAGATCACACTGCGTGAAAATCCTCCGGAAGTGACCCAGAGGCGGGCGGGGAGAGAGAAGGGATGGGAAATTTAAGATTAAGGCGGTTCCACAAAGTTGAAACAGATCTTGAGTGCCAGGAGGGGAAGGGAGTGGAGGGGGAATTGAGAGGGTGAAGAGGATCCCTAACTAACTACGTATGTATGGAGACAGCATGAAGAAACCCACCAACTCAAGCGATAGAGAGCCTGCCTAGCAAGCGTCGAGCCCTGAGTCCAAACTCCCTGAGAGGGAGTGGGAAGCTTTGACCAAATACTGAGATGGAGCTCAATGCAGTTTCGTCTGATTCTCAAAGGACAGTGATGGATTCATTTTCTGGCACATCTTTGCAATTGTGCAAATCTTCTCTAAGAGTGGATGGCTGTGAAAAGTTTACTCATTTACTACTTTATAGAGCCAACATTTAACTGCCTCTGGGGTAGCAAGAACTGCTGTACCAGCAATTAACTACAGGAATTAAATCCCTCTAGATAGGGAATTTACATTCCAAAATTTGGGACAGTAAGCTTGGGAGTGGGGGGTAACAAGAACAGACACCTAAATATGCTCACAACTCAAGTTTTAGCTTAATAATTAACTCATTGCTAGCCAGCCTGCTTTCGCTTACGCAAGTTTTTTTTTTTCAACAAAAATTGTACACATTCTTTTATCTTTTCTTTCTGTCCTTTCCCCAATTCCCGACAGGAGAGAACTCAAGATCTTTTAGGCTCCAGACAAGGTTTTCACTCTTCTCTACCTCCTGGAGTGAAGGAATATTCAGGCCTGCAAGAGACACTACTCTAGATAATGCCAGTACATCAGGAAGTAAACAGACATGAGACCACCATCTGGCCCAAAGTCATGCCTCAGCATGAACATCCAGAAACCCATACTAGACTTTCCCTTAAAAATCCTCCCTCCCCCTTGGGAGGAAGACTTCAGCTTTTGAGGCAGCAGCTTATTGCAGTCCTCACTTTGCCTGGCAAAACAAACAAACCTTTACTTCCTTTTCTCCAAAATCCTACTCTTGTTACTTGTGAATTGGACTGAATTTGTGGTATCAAGAGGAGTAGTCTGCAAAATATTAGAATAGGATAAAGTTGAGAATGGTTGGCTATTTTAGATTGGGCAACTAAGTGTCTGAAAGAAGTAAACACTTAAGAGAACCAATATCAAGAAGTCACCCAATCCAGAGGAAGAGCAATTCAAGCAGAAACTACAGCTTTTGAAAAAGATTAAGGCAAGAATAAGCTTGGGCATGTTTGAGAAAGAAGGCCAGTATGACTGAAGCAGAGTTGGCCAGGGAAGTAGCACAAAAACTCAGAAGAGGCACAGGGATTTTCCTCTTAGATGTTACAAATCACTATTTTTCCCTGCCCACACAAGTATCTTCTCAAAAATCCTTTTCATAGGAATGGCTTCATCATCCACCCAATCGTAGGTGCCAAAACCAAACCAAACCATTGTTCCTTTTTGCTTATACAAGGTGGTCCACCTTAAATAATTCCCTCAGCTTCCCAACACCAAATTTACAACTCTAGCAACTGAATACCTTTTCCACTTTCACCTTATGCTCTAAACACATATCCCAACAGCCTGTTTCAGGAACCTTGGATTATACATTCCATTCTCTGTTCTTAAACCACCACTCAGTCCTTTCCATTAGTATTCAAATATGCAAATCTCTATTGAGAGAGAGATCCTTTTTGCCACCAATTATTCCCTTCCCTTTATAGCTTACTTTAGAATTATTTACACTAGAAATTTTTAATTTTTAAATTACTTGCCTCCAACTTACTCAACCATCTGACTGGTCACTACACTCAACACACACCAAAATAGCCCACTAAGGTAATCAGTTACTTACCTCTATGTCACAAAACTTACTGTACAGAGCTAGGGTGTGGCTCAAGTGGTGCAGCAAGCACAAAGTCCTGAGTTCAAACCCCAATACCCAAAAAAACCCAAATGTACTGTACATACCTCAGTCATTGCACCTGTTATTTTTAATATTTTTTAAACACAAAAAAAATTTCTTTTCAATGCATAAAAATTATGCATATTTATGGGATACCATGAGATGTTTTGCTTCTATGCATTGTGTAATGTTCTCAGGGTAAACATATCTACTCAATTATTACTTCATGATAAAAACATTCAAAATTCTTCTAGCTTTAATACACACAGGCACACACACACACACACACACACACACACACAAACATGTCCATATAGTCACCCTACTGTGCAAAAGAACTCTGTGTAACTTCTTTCTCCCATCTAAATAACTGTTAATCAACCTTTCTCCATTTCTCCCTCCCTCCTACTTTCCCTAGTTCTTGATAATTACCATTCTATTCTCAATCTCCAGATCAACTTTCTGTATGTGTGTGTATGCGTGCTTCTACAGATCAAACCCAGGGCCTCAAGCATGCTAAGCAGACGCTCTACTACTAAGCAGTACCACCAGTCCAAAAAAACCTTTTCTAGATTCCATATGAATAAGATCATAAGATACTTGCATTTCACTACCTAACTTATTGCACTTTCATATAATGACATCTACTTCCATTCATGTTTGCACAAATGACAGGATTTCACTGATTTTTATAGCTGGCTGAACAATATTCCATGGTATATATGTGCATTTTCTTTATTACCAGGTGATACACTTAGATGTTTGCATTTCTTGGATACTGTGAATAGTGCTGTAATAAACATGGGACAGACTGATTTTCTTTGAATATATACACAACACAGGAACTGCTGGTTTCTAAGGTGGTTCTATTTTTAATTTTTTGAGGTACTTCTATGTTGTTTTCTACAATGGCTATACTAATTTCTATTCTAGATTATGCCTGGCACTATTTTGGGTAGTAGCAATTCAACAGTAATTCAATAAGATAAACAGTATTTTTTACGTCAGAATTTACACTGTACTAGAAGCAATAAACAACTACAAAAAACAATGTTGATAACAGATACTATAACAAAATATAACCCAGAATAAGGTCATGAGAATAGAGGATAGATGATTAGAGGAAAGTCCTCCACTAAGTAAAGTAACATTAAGCAGGAGAACCTGTATGAAAAGGAAAATATAAGCAATACAAAGTCCTAACAAAGATCTTTTCAGAGGAAAAAGAGTAAAAGACTTTAGACACAATGTAGACAGACTGAGAAATGACCAGAACTCCTTTGTGTATAAAAATGGGTAAGGTTGGGCTTGGAATGTGGCTTAGTAGAACAGCTGCCTGGCATGCATAGGCCCTGGGTTCAATCCCCATAAAGGTGAAAAATGAGTGGGATTAAGTAGCACTTGGAACTGGAGAGATGGGTAGACATCAGGTCACTTCCTAGTGTTTATTGGTAACCAGAATATAAAGAATTTGGATTTTTTTATTATGAGGAATGCCCTTAGAGGACCTTGAGCAAGGATATAAGATTTGATTTGTACTTTTAAAAGATAATAAAATGTTCTCATTAAAAAATCGATGAGACTTATTTGTCAAGGCCTCATATAAGTGGTTTTTTTTTTTTTTTTTATTATTCATATGTGCATACAAGGCTTGGGTCATTTCTCCCTCCTGCCCCCACCCCCTCCCTTACCATCTACTCCACCCCCTCCCTCCCCCCCCACCCCCTCAATACCCAGCAGAAACTATTTTGCCCTTATTTCTAATTTTGTTATAGAGAGAGTATAAACAATAATAGGAAGGAACAAGGGTTTTTGCTAGTTGAGATAAGGATAGCTATACAGGGAGTTGACTCACATTGATTTCCTGTGTGTGTGTGTGTGTGTGTGTGTGTGTGTGTGTGTTACCTTCTAGGTTAATTCTTTTTGATATAACCTTTTCTCTAGTTCCTGGTCCCCTTTTCCTATTGGCCTCAGTTGCTTTTAAGGTATCTGCTTTAGTTTCTCTGCGTTAAGGGCAACAAATGCTAGCTAGTTTTTTAGGTGTCTTACCTATCCTCACCCCTCCCTTGTGTGCTCTCGCTTTTATCATGTGCTCAAAGTCCAATCCCATTGTTGTGTTTGCCCTTGATCTAATGTCCACATATGAGGGAGAACATACAATTTTTGGTCTTTTGGGCCAGGCTAACCTCACTCAGAATGATGTTCTCCAATTCCATCCATATATAAGTGGTTTTAAAAATCAAATCAGAAGAAATATCACAATGAGGTTTTATCTTATTAAGATAAAATTAGTTTTAGGGGGAAGAGGTACTTGTCCTGAAATACAATTAGACTCACTTTGTACAGATAGAATAAACTCTATCATTCAAATGCTTTCCAATGTAACTTTTCAGTTGTAACTAAAGTTCAAACACAAGCACTGAGAGCTTTTTAATAATCTGCAAAGGTTTTAATCAAGTATATTTTTTATCTTTCAAATATTAAGACTATGGATGCTAAAATTAAATGTGATTGACTTATACAGCAATCAAGATACATTATCTACTTATAATATTATCAATATTGCCTACACCAAGAGAATTTTAAACTTCAAAGTTGTACTGAAAATTAAAAATGAAGACTAGCCAGGCGCTGGTGGCTCATGCCTGTAATCCTAGTTACAGGAGGATCACAATTCAAAGCCAGCCCAGGCAAATAGTTCACGAGACCTATCTTGAAAAACATGTCACAAAAATAGTGCTCGTGGAGTGCTCAAGGTAAAGGCCCTGAGTTCAAACCACAGTACCCCTAAAAAAAAAAAAAATGAAGAACAGATGTATATATCCCACAGCTGACAATTTTATATACTCCCTCAACTCTCTTTTAGTTTATCATTCCAATTTTTATTACAAATGATTTTTCACATGCATTACAGCATTGCAAAAGTCATTTTACCTTAATTAAATCATGACAACAGTTCTGTTACATGTTCAACAAATAAAATACTTTTGTGAGGTGTTTTTTTAAAAAATCAAATTTTCTTTCCTAGTGTTCATTAAAAAACAAAATCTAGCTCACAAAATGAAATGTACACAGTAAAACCTCATTAACTGGGACCAAGGGATAATTAATATGAACCACAGAATATTTGGAAAGAAAAGCAATTCTGAAATTGCTAACTTCACAAGCCTTAGAACCTTATGTAATCTAACAAAATATTAAGAGGCAGTGCATAGCACTAGTTTCTAAGCTACATGGAAAGCCATTAGCCTGAAGTCAGAAGCTGCAAAACTTCAATGCCCTTTTATAAATTTTGTAAAGCAAACATACTCAAACCAACAGCATTACATGAAGGTCATCAACACTAAAGAAATTAGCAAAATCTAAACTGAGAAAACTAGTTATTGGAACCATTTAGTAGCGTTTAAATAATGCACTGTAGACCTAGACTAATGGAACAATGAAGAAAAAAATACAAATATAGACAAGAAACTGAAACACCATATTAAATTTCACATTACATTGAATATTTTAGGAAAAATTATTTTTAATTGAAAATTTATTTTAACCAAACGATTGAAAAACTGCCAAATACTGACTATATTGACTAAAAACCACATATGGACTGTATAAAAGGTTCAAAAGAAAGAAGATACAGTATAGTATTTTAACTGCCAGTACTGAAAGTCTCTAAAGACTGAGGCTTATTGCATTCTTTGGAAGAGAAATCTGATACCCTCCCTCCCCCAAAAAAGTATATTCCTATTCCAGATGCAGTTTACTAAATTAGGTATCTCAAAAATAATAAGCACTCATTTCAAGTTATAACTCTGCTTAAAAGTTTTATTTACATAGTAATTGTTGCTAGTGGTTTTTAGTGAATTCCTTGTATATACATTTTATATACACAGTTATACTTAAAAGGTAAAGAAACTGTACAATCATAAAAAAATAAGAAAAAGAAATACAGTAACTTAGGCCCACCTCAGGAAACAAATACATAAAAGTAATATTAAATATAGGCAGGTAGTAAAACCTCAATGAGATTACTGCCAGAGGTTACATTCCCTCTATCAGGGACACTAATACCAAGGAAATAGTTACCAGAGTTAAAAGGTCAACCTAACCTATTAAGACCCTGGATACTCTCCTCAATATTTTATTACACTACCAGTTTCCACTAAGCCAGCCCCTATGACAGGAGTTAACTTCTGAGGGTTCCACTAGTAGTCCCTAGGCTAGAATGACCCATAGGGTAAAAATATATGGGCACCCTTTGGTCCCATACTCCTAAAGAGGCAGTCACTACACTAACAAGGATCTCAGGCTTGTTAGTTTGAAGACTATACATATACCACTAACAGAAATGATGTGCTTAAATGTTTCAAACCAAACTGCAACATAAAACACTACAAACTAATATTACAGTCAAATAGTATGTCATACAGATATCACTCATAACATTCAAATGATTTAGTTTAGGTTCAAAAATTAAATGCCAATTTACCAATGATTAATAATTACTTTATCTGCTGTGCCATCAGACTCAAAAAATTAATTTTACCTTTTTCTTTTACTCTTATTTCCACTGATTAAAAAAATATGCATATTGTTTTACAAGTCATGGCCTTAGCAACATATAAGATTTCAAATTTCAAACTGGAATTAACAAATTTTGTTTCTACAGACAGAGGAGGAATTTTAACTAAAAGAATTTAAAATCTTGTCAAGTACTATGCTATTTAAAACCTCTCAGAATTCCTTACTTTTTATTCTTACCAGTGAAGTTAACTCTCATTTATATTTTTTAACTTGCTCCCAAAGTTACGTCTTCAGTTCACTAAAGTGCAAAAAGAACTTTCATTCTACCAGTTATTTATTTAATGTTAAATTACAATGTGAACAATCTGTTAGACTAGAAACAAAAAGGCTAAAATTTTTGCAGTGATAGGAATTCCTTAAGAACAAGAACTTCCCCTCAAAAACAAATAGACAGTACACTAAGGGAAAACATCTTAAACAAACAAGAAACCATCTCCCACCAGGTTTCCAGTTCCCAGATAACTCACATTTTTCCCAACGTATAAATGAAGACAAACAGGAACCTCAGTGACAAACATTTTACAACCAAAGCTGCTTATTCTCACTCTACAATATCTTCAAAAACTCAGATCTGGAGATAATGTCTATACTATAGCATTTTGGTGATTAGAGTAGTATTTAACAATTCCACTCTGACCTTGAAAGTGCCTTTGTCGTAACTGTTAGAAAACAAAAGATGTAAAAAATTGAAGTATCTCTGAAGCTATTTAAAAAATTTATTGCATTAACTTATTCACTCCAAATTATGGAGTATGAAACAGCCATTTAAACTTTTTCCTCTGAAAAATGGCTCACCCTACAAAATACCTTTTTATTAATACTGTCAATAAATTATTTCATTTACTTTAGCCTTGGAATTTTAAATCAGCAGTTTTTCACCTCTTGATTCTTTCAGATTTCTCTATTTTCTTCCATGCTTTTTACATAACAGAAAACTTTTACCCCCAAAACATTATATTACAGTTAGTCTGTTAATTTTGAAGATTAACTTTTCAGAGCAGGACTGCTGTTCTTTTCTCCTTCTTTAATATCCTTCATTACAGATGCAAAGACCTGGAAATTATACAAAATTCAGATTAATTCTCAAACCTACCACCCAGTGTAAAGAGATTTAAAAAACTACAGTTTACAAACACAAAAAAGCATTAGTACACTTAACTCTGTCCCCTGAAAAACTGTCATTTTCAAATCCCTATTATTATTATTGTTGTTATTATTTTTGGTGAGACTGAGATTTTGAACTCAGGACTTCATGCTTGCAAAGCAGATACTCTACCACTTTAGCCTTGCTTTCAGTCTATTTTGCTCTGGTTCTTTTAGAGATAGGGTCTCAAGAATTATTTCCCCAGGCAGGCCTCAAACCATGATCCTCCTGATATCAGTCTCCCAAGTAGCTAGGATTATAGACCTAAACCACCAGTGTAGCACCCCTGTTTTTTAGACCCAATTTTATGGAATATATTTAGATTTCAGTTTTCATCAACTGCTAAATATTCTGATATTACTATTTAAAATGAGAACATTTTCTAGATCAAAATTCTTAATTTCATTTTTATACACAATAAAAGTATGAACTTCTAATAAACTTATTATGTTTATCATTCATGATATCATTCATATCACTCAGGTGATAATGTTTCTCTTATGATATTTAATTTAGACTGTCAGTATGTTTTCTGCCCATAAACAAGATCAAGCATCTAAAAAGCCAGGATCATACATTAGATTCTTTCTACTGTAAACCCTTTGGACACAGAAGGTCTTTAATAAAATTACTGTCTATTTGACATAACAAAGTAGTCACCTAAGTGCTCTTAAAAAAAAAAAAGACTATTGTGGGTTGCAGTTCACTAAAAAATATTACTAAACTTAAATAAAAATAAAGCCATAGGATTGAATAAGGACAAAAAAGAAAACCTTGGCTTTTTCAAGGCCAAAATTATTTTCAATTTAAGCACTAATACTTGAGAAATACATAACTATTTTATAAAAAGTCAATGTATTATTTTAACACATCTATTACAAGTAAAAAAAAAATTCACTCTACCTGAGTCCATTTTTTGGTGCTATTCTGCATCTGAATGGCTGCAATACAGCTGAACAGCTTTTCTGATGTGATATCTTCTGGCAATTTAGTTAGAAACTGTGCTATATGAATAAAGTCCATCTGTAGGAGAATATCTTCATACAACCGGAGGATTCCTATCCAGTCCTAAATAAAAATTCCTCCCCATCTCTGCAAAATACATCCCAGACTCGACAAGCCAGATCAAGTGGTAGTGATTTGCTATATAGTGTGAAGATCCTAAAATTAGGGGGAAAAATTGTCACTGAAATGTTCCATTCACTGATTCATTCAGTCATTAAGCAGTCTCTATAGAAAAAAAACACTGAAAAATTAAGGATAAAGAGGCAAATGAATTAAGATTTTTCCCCCTCAAACTTGAATAGTAGGAAATATAAGTAATAAATAATAAAATTATGTGAATTTGCAACCTTATATTATAGAGGTGTAAAAGCTTAACACAAACTAGAGCTGTAAAATAACCTAGTGGCTTGGAGTATAGGCTCTGAAACCATAATACCTGAGTTTGAACCCTGAATTTGCCACTTAGTTATGTGACCTTGAGCAAGACATCTAGCCTCACTGTTGTGCTTCATTAGTAAACTAAAGATAACAATACATCTATTCATGGACTGTTTTAAAATTAAAGGAATTAATAAATATAAAGTGTCTAGAATAGTGTCTAGGTCATAAGAAATGCTCAGGTTGGGGTGAAGCTCAGTCCTAAAGGGCGCGACTCGCATGAACAAGGAGCTGTGCTGAATCTCTAGGACAGGGGGAAAAAAAGGTCAAGCAACTGAGAAGACATGATATTTGATCAATTTCCTTAATCTATATTAAAACTTAATACCAAGCTGGGGTGTAGATCAGTGGTAGAGCATTTGCCTAGCAAGCAGGAGACCCTGGGATTGATCTCCAGCACTGCCAAAAGAAAAAACCAAACCAACCAAACAACAACAAAAACTTCAATACCACTTACATGAAATCTAATGGATGATTAGGATTTACAGTTCCATATCTATTTTTGACAACCTGTCTTAAGATCAACTACACCATCTTTTAGCAAAATTTGCCTACCATTGTAAAATCAACTGCTCACTAGGCAAACTCTCCAAGTTAGAACAAAAGGTTTTGAATTTGAAAGATGAAAAAAGACATTAGCACCTAAATAAGGCATTATTCTCCTATCAGAAAGCTGGATAAAGTCCTGAAAAAAATCCCTAATTTAAAGAAACACTATTATTGTCCTTGTGTGTTAATAATAATAAAGGAATAGCAACTCTTTCTGAGCACTTAGCATATGCTAGGCATTGAATTCAATAATCTACTCTTACTACAACTCAAGATATAGATATAATTATGCCCTTTTGTATTTAAGAAACTAAGGGCTATGCACAGTAGCACACCTATATAATCCCAGCTACTCCAGAGGTAGAGATTGGGAGTATCATACTTCGAGGCCAGTCTGAGCAAAAAGTTAGCAAGACCCCATCTCAAGAAACTGGATATGGTGACACACTCCTGTTGGAAGGTGTAGGTAGAGGGATTACAGTCTAAGGGGGACCCAGGCAAAAAAGTGCAAGACCCTATCTGAAAAATAACGACAAAAAAGTGGGGAGGGGTCCTGGGAAGGATGGTTCAAGTGCTAGAGTGCTTGGTAAGCACAAGGCCTGAGTTCAAAACCCAGTACTACCAAAAAAAGCCTGAAACTGAAACATATACTGAGATATTCTGACTTCAACCCAATCCATTCTCTTAAACAAACACATCTCCACAAAATGTGGAGTTTCTCTATTTGTAAAAGTACATTCTTTTATATATATATATATATTTTCTCTATTTGTAAAGGAAGGTTCTTTTATAAGTACAAATACAAAATATATATGATCCTTGAATGAGATTTACTATAGCTCCTAAAATACACAAGAAGTTATACTTTATTTCTTTTTCATGATTGTTTATGTATGTTATCACTTACCAGTCTATCAGGTATATATCTGGTGTAAGACTATAAGACTTAAAATGAAGAAATAACTTGGACAGGTTTTCTTCAAAGAATACTTCAAATGTTGCAAAATATTTCAACATCTAGAGACAGAAAAATCAGTGAAATTATGAAACAGTTTATTCTAGAAACACAAATAAATCTTTAAACAGTACAAGAAAATCTTGTTTATTTGCACTTTGAGCATTCTCATCATGTATTCCTAAAACTATAATTCAATGGAAAGTTTATATTCAATCAGATTATCTTACTATTTTAATTATTGTTTCTTACTCTAAAAGGCATTTGTAATACAGAAAATACTAAAAAAAAAAAAAACAACACAAGCCATTCCAAATGTTCATACCATGCTGTGATCTACACGGAAGAAGGCCAACTGGCATGGTTTATTCAGGAGATTTGCAAATGCAATGAAGGCATCTGCCTCTTCCAAATTGAGAATGAGTACTGCTGCAATAAAGGACATCCCTTGGACCTTCAAAATAAAATAAAAATAAATTTAACGTAATAATTCTATAGTTTACTTAATTATACTGCTGAAAATTTTTAAAACAATGTTAAAATTTACTCAGATTCCCTTTTCTTCCTAGCAAAGGTAAATACAGAGAACCCAAAATAATTATGAATCTCCCTAATTTTCTATTTCTTGTACATATGGTGTGGTTAATAAGTACTAAGGAAATGTTTCTGAAAACAGGAAAAAGTATTAGCTTTTACTTGCTACAAAAGCCTATTTCATCTCAATATACTACCTCTTTAGGTTTCACTTCCTCTCAGTCTGAATTTTTCAAAATACAGTATAGAATCACAAAGTTTAATGAAAACTTGGTGATTGTTTCATTATCCAAACACATCTGTCTGAGTTAAAAAATAAGGATCCAAGAATAAAAGAGGTCTAAGAGATATGCTGCTGAAGTTCCAAGAGAGCAGAAGTTGTAGGGGTTAAAATAGCCTGAATTCTGGGGAAAATAGGAGAAAAAAGTGGAGAAAAACATTCCATGATAGAAAAGAAGTATAGGCAAAAACCACAAATAGGAATATAAGAAACAGCTCAGATGGAACACAATATTTATAATGGGAATAATGAAAGACACTTGGGAAAAGTAGGATGCATTTACAATATAAAAGGCTAAATCGTACAGATGTCTACTTGTGGGTTATCAGTAGCAATTGTACCTCTCTTAAAAAAAAAAAGTTGTCAAGCACTTCTAGTAAAATTTGTATAATAGACTTACACCAGGAGAACACTAAGAATAATTGCAACAATACATATGTCTTCTTCTCAGCCAAATGTTTTGAAAGAGTTTCTTAGAATAACCATTTTACTTTCTCAGATCTTTTCACTTTTTTTGCAGAGGGGGGCAAGGGAGGCAGGGTCTCACTCTGTAGCCCAAGGTGGCCTAGAACTTGCTATATAGACCAGGATGGTTCCAAACTTGTGATCCTCCTCAACCTCTCAAGTATAGGAATTACAGATGTGTATTATCATGCCGAGCTTCCCTTTTCATTTTTTAACATACTTTAATATGGACTCTCACTCCATTACTATTACTATATTATGTTGAAAATTCTCTTGCCAACATGATCAATGACATTTATTGTAAAACCAGTGGGTGCCTACCCTCATAGCATATTCTCTTAGTTTTTGTGATTCAATTTTTTTTTGTTCTCCTCATACTTCTCTGGCTTCTTCCAGTATTGTTTGCAGATTGTACAATAATTGCCTATTTGACTGTCTAGAATGTAAGTTCCCTGAGGACTGAGACAGTAGTAAGCAGAATAATTGTCCCCTAAAAAATGACCATGTCTTAATCCCAATACCTATGAAAATGTTACAATACATAGTGAAAGGTACTTTGTAGATGTGATTAAGTAAAATCTTGAGATGGGAAAATTATCCTGGATTATCTGGCCCAAAGTAATCATCCCAAAGTACTTTTTTGTTGTTGTTGTTGTTTTAGCAGTACAGGGGTTTGAACTCAGGCCGCATGCATGCAAGGCAGGTGCTCTACCAGTTGAGCCATGCTTCCCTCCCCCATAGTACCTTGTAGGTGAAAAACAGAGGCAGAAGAGTCAAGAGAGAGATTAGAAATGCTACACTGCTGGCTTTGAAGATACAGGTAGGGGGCCATGAGACAAGAAATGCGCGAAGGAAGGCAGCCTCTAGAAGGTACAAAAGGCAAGGAAATGAATTCTGCCCTGGAGCCCACAGGAGGAACACAGCTCTGCCAACCCCATGACTTGAACTCAGTAAAATATCTATTTCAGACTTCTGACCTGCAGAACTGTCAAATAAAATGTGTGTTGCTTGAAGCCATTGTTTGTGGTAATTTTTTATGTTATTAATAGGAAACTAATACAGAGACCAGACCATGTCTGTTCGTGATTATATTCTTAGTAATATTTTCTGAATGTATATAAGGGGCAAAGTGTTAGCCATCTGCAACAGAATGATAGAAGAGCAAATAGAAGAGGTTAAAACTGTGTTTAATTAAATCTAAGAGGCTGCTAAGTTAAATATCATTTTATATATTATTAAAACAGAAAATTGCTGCCAATTAACCACTAACAATGCTGTATCGCTTAGAATTTTAATTTTATGTATATTCATGAAACTGCTTAAAGCTCACTCAGATAGATCATATATCACTCTTGTGCATATATGAAAGGGAAATAAGACAAAGTTGTTTCCATGTTTCTTCAGAGTCCAATCCTTCTGAATATTCTGTATTATTTACCCACACATAGTACTATGTGCCATCAAAAATGTTTAAGTTGGACCTAATAATCAGAACATCAAAATAGTATTTAAATTCCATTGTATATATTTTAAAAGAAATACAAGCTGTCTAGAGCTAAAACTGGATCTTCTATAAAAATTAAATTTATGATAAACAATTTTAAATGTCAACTTAAACATGTGCAAGGGATAAATTGTATTTCATAATTCTTTTTTTTTTACAGTAACAATTTTTTTGTATAATACTTGAGCAAGTAAGCATAATAAGCCTGCCTCATTCACAGATTTATTATATGTGACTTTGATCAAGATGGTTAAAAATAGTAATAAAAAAACCCAAAAGAAATTATTGTAAGTTTGTTGTAAGTGGCATGTCTTTGGCAGATATTGGGTGGCATTATGGGGAAAATGAATCAAGCATCTGCAGTACAGTACTGAACACTGTACCCTGAACACCTGAAGTTTTTCCTTAATGGCAGTTGCCTTGGAACCATAGGTCCACAGATACCAAGAGTCTACTGTAAAGACACTGCTCAGATATCATTTTTTCTATTAGGATGTACGACTACCCTTTTTAATTGTACACTCTAGCAATTCTTCCCTTTATCATACCATACTTTCCCATAGCCTGAGTTACTTTGTTGCTTATTGTCTGTTTCCTCCTTCTTAACCCGAAAGCATCATGGGAAGGTGGTGCAATCTTTCATTCACTACAACATATCAAGTACAAAGAACAATAAATGTCTGGCATAATGTAATAATAATAATAGGCACAAATGAATGAACAATCATACAAAGAAACATGCAACAGAACAAAATTGTACCAGACAGCCACCTGAGGTCTCTAAAATTCTTCTAAGAGGACTGGAGGTATGGCTCAAGCAAAAGTGTGCCTGATTTGCAAGCATGAAGCCCTGAGTTCAAACCCCAGTCCCACCAAAAAAAAAAACAAAAATAAATAAATAAGTAAATAAAATTTCTCCTAAGACATACACAAGAAGATGATTTTATAACTTCTAGTAAAACATGGCAACTGAACACTCACAGTTTTCTTTGTTCCCTCTTAAAATCCAACTAAAATGACAGTAAAAGAAAAAGTAAGCATTAACTTAGGAGGACGAAGAGAATGGAAAAGGATATAAGCACTAGATAAAAGATGTCAACAGCATTGTAGAAATTTTAACCTAAGTAAATAGAGAATGTTGAAACTAAACGATCTGCAGAGGAGGAAGCCAAATCAGTCATATGAGCTTAAAAGACTCATGAAATGAAGTCACAAGTACCTCTGAAATTAAGGGAGGAGGCTAAAAATAGAATTGGTTTAGACAGTAAAAGGACCAAATTCCACCCCCAACCGTGTCAGTACGTGTCTATTCTTCCCTTAACCTGGCAGAACATAAAACATTTGTTTTGCAGATTTACAGTTAGGAAAAAAAAGATGGGGAAAGGCACTATACTGCCAGCAGAAGCATTACATAAGTTTACAAAATGAATGGTGAAAAATCCTTAGCAGCCTTCCCAAAAAGCTGGCAGCCCATTTTATAAGCTCCTGACAAGAGATGGAAAGCTTCCTCTCTAAATAAATTAAGAAGTCCAAGAAAACAGACATATAGTTACTTAATCTGTATCTACAAACATTTAATACAAAATAATTCTGTAAGACTATAGATAAAATTAAAATGATTATATGCAAAAACTGGATTGAAACAAATACTTACGTAACCAACATCAGGTCTGTAACATGTATAAGCCCCTAAGATACTATGTAAAAGATCGTGATATGGGCCACCCTTAGGAGACAAAAATGAAATTTGAAACTAAATAATTCTCTCTACATTAATTTCCATATAACATCTTAAAAAAAACTATAGCACACTAGTTTTAGAGTATTTAACAACTGTCAAAAACATTCTAAATGCACTATCAACATGTTTTCAAAATTAAAAGTCTGATACTGAATAATTTAAAAATGTCAAATTGATGGATACAATTACATAGCTTGATGGATACAAGCTATACAATTTGTAAACAACTTTAAAGATTTTTACATTTAGTACAATAAGCATAGGATAAATACAGTTTCTTTCTTTCTGGTGCTAGGGATTGAACCCAGGGCCTTGCACATGCTCTACCACGAAGCTCATTGAGCTACCCCCAACAAACCCATTGTATTTTATATAATAAAACTTCAGCAAAAGAAAAGCTACCAACTGCCAGGCACCAGTAACTCACAGCTATAATCCCAGCTACTTGGGAAGCTGAAATCAGGAGGATCAAGGTTTGAGACCAGCCCAGCAAATGGTTCATGACACACCTCATCTCCAAAATAACCAGAGCAAAATGACTAGAGGTGTGGTTCAAGTGACAAGATGGAAAGCCCTTGAGTTCAAACCCCAATCCCACACACATACACACAAAAAAGCTACCAATTAAACTAAATTGTATGAATATTTTTAGCCTTAATAGCAAAAATTTTTAGCAATCACAAAGCCTACATTATGAATGAAGTATTTCTGCCTATTTTCAATGGTAACTATTTTCTTCCTGGAAATAATGACTAAATACAAATAATTTGGGGGGTAATTCTGCACAATTTTAAGTTTGGGACAAAGTTTGCTATATTTTAATAGTTTACTAGATAAAAAAAATGTTAAGAATTCAAGTCTCCTATAGAATAAAAAGTAAAACAAGGAAGCTCACTTTAATAAAAACATCTTAAATACCTAGTACATCAGAGGCATGTGCTATGTTAACTACAATATATTTTAGTCAGTGAAATAATAGAAATTTTTTTAAATTGTTCCTATGAGCTTTACATTTTTTATATAAAGGCCCAAATTTTAGTAGTTTGCCTTTATAAAAGTAACAGCTCTGCATTTACAGAATTTGTTCCCTTGGATATTAAAAGGCTTAAAAAAAAATCAGTCACAAGCTGGTTACAAACCCTCACCTTCTGAAAGATGTAGAGAGATGGAAATGTACGGGATATGTCCAACTTAATTAATTCCAGACTGGCCTCTCGGTCAGCAACAGATATACCTGCATTTAACAAGAAGATAAGATTTATTTATTTTTTGGATTTTTAAATTTTATTTTATTATTTTTATATTTACTTACATGTGTATACATTATTTGGGCCACTTTCCCCCTCCCCTGCAAGATAAAATTTAAGTGATCACTTGGCTGTAACAAGTTTAATATTATAAATACAGAATGATCATAGCATGTGTTATTTAAGTTAAAAAAAAAAAGCTGAAAAACTAAGAAATTTCAAGAAATGCCATAGTTTTTCCTAAAACTTAAAGTCTCTTATATGAAGAAAATATCTATACATTTATCAGAAAGGTATACAGTGAAGAAATTCTGCTTTGTTTTTGTAGACTATACAGGTAGAATATCACTCCCATGATAACAACCAGAAAAAAATGAAATAATTACAAATACCACATTTTAAAAAATGACCTCAGAGTTGATAAAGAGAGAGATCCAGAGCATTTAAATTTCAGAAAGGGAAGAGTCTTTTCATACAGAGGTGGACACTAGTGGTCATTTTTTCCCCTAGGGACCTTTGTCAAGTCTGGGAATGGGTTTAGAATAGAGCTTGCCAGAGGCAAAGGTACTCTGTTTGAGGAAAGAGAAACCAAAAGAGCTTTTCCTGGCCGAAGAAATGTGTGCTAGATAGGAATCTGGAGATCACTCCATGTATATCTAGTTTTTCCCTATCAGGGACTTTCCCTAAATGCAGAAAGTCAGGCTAGAAAGACAGAAGGAAATCACCCAAAGTCAATTCGGTCCTTAGGAGCATGTATCATTGGAGAAGTCTATAATCAAATTAGGACAGTTCTTTCTATCAAGAAACTTGAAACCTGAGATGAACTAATCTTTGGAAAGCTACAACCTTGCCCTTACCCAATTCAATTACTGACGGAATTGGGGTGATAAACCCCTAAATCAACTGCCAAAAGAAAAGAGTAGCTTCGTCTGCAGAGGAAACATTGGCATCAGTTTCTAAGTTCTTTTTTTTCCTCAGTGTCTGGATATAATGAAAAATTTTAAGATATGCTAAGAACCAAGGCAATGTGATTTATAATCAGGGAGAAAACCCGACTGCAGAAGTAGACTACAGGTAATCCAGTATTGGAATTAACAGACAAGAATGCTGTTTTATAAATACGTTAAAGAAAATAGCAGGAAGATGAGAAAAAATGTATGGGATGGAAAGATGAAGAATTTCAGCAGAGAAATGGAATGAATAAAAAGAACCTAGTGGACATTCTATAATTACAAACTATAATATCTAAAATTAAAAGCTCATTGGACAGATTAAATCATATACTAGAGAGAAAAGAAAGGATTAATAAGCCTAATTATAGATCAATAAAAATCATTCAAACTGAAGCAGTGAGAGAAAAAAAATTTTTTTTAAAGAAAAGTGTAAGAGGCTTGTAGGACATTTTTATGGTCTACCATATACATTAATTGGAATACGAGAAGGAGAACAAGAGAGATGGGGCTAAAGCACTATTTGAAAAGAAAATGGACAAAAAGTGAAATGACAACAGTAATTTATAAAATACTCAGAAAATGAGAAAATGTAATTTAAATAGAACACTGCTTCTGATTAGAATAATCTTTATTACATTCAAATAATTTCCTCTGAAGTACAATTTTAATTATTTACTCATGATAAAAATATATCAGATGTTAATGTTTATCATTTTAACTCTTATAATTTTGATAATTCATAAAAATAATTTAAAAAGAATAAGGAAACAACTGAGGCCCTGCCAGCACAAAACTTCTTACATTTTCACCTTCCTTGCTCTTTTAGGGTTTTCTTTCTATGAAGTAAGACAAATATTTAAAAACAGATGACTTTGTGTAACGAATTTTACTACATATTATAGTAAAAAAGGAAAATCAACTAAGATATGGGCTTAATTCCCACTGTCAATTATAAACATGTTATCTTACACAATTGCTCCCCATTATCCAAGGACAATAGATGGTTAAATAAATCTACTTCAATTTAATAAACTTTGATGAGAGGGAAAAAATGTTCCTGTTTTCTCCAAAATGATTAGGAAAAAAATCGACAAGGGTAGAGGCAATGCTGGGGGCTATGAGTTAATTAAATGAATAAAGAATAAAGTACAAGAATTATAAATAATATGTTAATCAACGGATGGGGAAAGGCCAGACGTCACAAGTGAAATGTAAAGAATATCTATCCTTAAGAAAGCTTGTCCTAAAAGTTGGACAAAGTAAGTTGGCCTTACTTTGTAATTTAAATCCTGGGCTCTGGAATATAAAAAAAATGTGGTTTATATCCCAGCTTCTCTGCTTCTAAGTTACTTAACTACCCTAAGCCTCAGGTTCCTCTTCTATAATTCAGAACAACACTATCTACTGAAAAGGTTAATATTAAATGGTATAATGTATTTAGAGCCGTTACCACAGTTCCTGATACATCATATAAAATCACACTATCATCTTCAATAATTGGATTTTCATCCTGAAATTCTTATTTAAAAAAAAAAACAAAACACACCTTCTATATCATTATCTGAACTTGTTTCACTGAAGCTTTTCCATCGTTCTTTTGCTCTTGAAAGGAAGATCTCATAAAGTTCTGGAAAAAAATTCATAAATAATCAGAGAGAAATATATTCATTTTTCACTCATTACTTATTATGGGTCAGGTCTTCCTGGTGTAGCACATATCAAAAAAAGTGACAAGCTGAAGTACTTCATTCTGCCAGAACGTTTGTATCCAACCAGAAGGACAGCAAAGAAAAATACCAGAGATACCAGGTGTGATGGTGCATAACTGTAATCCAACTACAGAGATTCCAATTATGTGAAAGGCAGTTCGAGGCCAGAATGGGTAAAAAAGTTACTGAGACCCTACCTCAAAAAAAAAAAAAAAGTTGAACATGGTAACTGATGGCACATTCCTTTAATGCCAAATACACAGGACTCACAGGTAGGATTAGAGCCAACCCTGGGCAAAAGTATAAGACCCTATCTGAAAAACAAACTAAAAGCCAAAAGGGCTGGGATATGGCTCAAGTGGTAGAGCACAAGCACAAGACACTAAGCTGAAACACCAATACTGCCCCAAAATAATAATTAATGGAGAATGACTATTCAATATCCAATGTACGGAGTGTATATGAAGCAGGAAGAAGTAACTTTGTTAAAAGAGCACTAGTGTGAACAGCAGAAACAATTGTTGGAGTCAGTCAGACCTACTTTTATATTCCAGCTTTGCACTAACTACCCTGGGACTTCAAGAAAGTGACCTAACCACTCTGGAACTTGGCTTTCTTCATTGTGAACTAGGCAAACGTAACCTACACATTGGGTTATGATGAGTAAACAAGGTATTTTATGTAAAGCTCCTGGCATCTTATTACTGGCCCTTGGTAATGCAAGTTCTGGCTTTCTCGCTCTTCTTAAATGGATTTCTCCATTTGTATTGCTATATGTACTTCACACAGATTTGGTCTAAAGGGCTACAAAAATCTTTATCCCTATCTTTTAATTAAGTGACCTGTCGATCATTTTTGAAGAATGTTACTATATTTTTATGTACACAGTCTCATAAAACTTCAGTAACAGAAAAAAACTGAAACATGTTTCTCAACTCTCATATTCTATTGTCTTTGCTTTCTAACTAACCACTTAAGATACCTGAAACTTATAAAAATAGTGAGCTTCAGTGACAGAAGGGCAAAGCATATATCTTGCCCAATACCAACATTTATATATTGTATAAATACCAAGAATATTTTTGGTTTAAACTGATTCTTTTTAAAAATTTATTTAAGGTAAGACATGAATATACAATAGTACAAAACAATAGGGAGTGAAAAATAAGGTTACTTCTCTCAGATGCAACTACAGTTACCAGAGTTCTCATGATTTCTTCCAAAGATGAAAATATATATCCCCAAATATATACAAATGTATCCTTTAGAAAAAAACAAAGTGACAACATCTTAAATGCATCTATCTGTATTCTACTTTGTTACAGTGGAAGTTTTACACATTAGTAGATAGAAATCTCTTTTTTTTTTTTTGGCAGTACTGGGATTTGAATTCACAGCCTTGTGCTTGCTAGACAAGTGTTCCACCACTTGAGCCACGCCCCCAGTCCTTTTTTGCATTGGTTATTTTTCAGAGAGGTCTTTCAACTTTTGCCCAGGCCTGGCCTGGGATCACAATCTTCCTACTACACTCCTACATAGATGGGATTACAAACACATACCACCATACCCTGTTTGAGATGGGAATCTCCCTAACATTTTCTCCTCAGGATTAGTCTCAAACTGTGATCCTCCAATCTTCACTTCCCACATAGCTGGAATATAGGCATGTCTTACCATGCCCAGCAAGTAGATATAAATCAGTTTTGTTTTTGCTTTTTGTAAATGACGACAAAGTACTCCAATGTGTAACTATACAATAACGAGTATTCTCGTATTGCCAAAAATCAAATCATTATAAAATAAATGACTAGATATAGTTCAAACAGATTTTTACTGTTCTAATTTCTTCTATTTACTTATCATTATTATCAATGGTTTGAAAAGAAACTTACAAACAAAAAAATCAAATTTAAAATTACTATGTGCAACCCTATGAAGGAGATGAACATAATTTTCAAATTGTATATGTTAACTATTTGAGGTAAGTCCACACTGTTTTTTTTTTTATTTCCAACTGGTTTCAGGTCAGTTTCATTATTCTACCCAAACCTTACAACTGCCTGGAAAAAAGAAAAATGCTCACTAGCCATATCCTTCTTTTTCAGAAGCCACAATAGTGACCCAATAATAAAAATGTGGCATTGCATTTTGCAACATGAAAGGATATCTCTCCAAGGAAGATTTACAATGTATATCTCTAACAAAAAGTCCCATACCACAGTTTAAGTCCATACTGGCTCCTCTTATTTTAATGTAAATCTGCAAAGAGAAGCAGGCTTAAAAGACAGGACAGTACCTTATATATGAGCAGATAATACTTCGATTTCAATACATTTTTCACTTTCTAATTTTGTGACAATGATGATATATACACTCTCAGCAAAAGGCACTTTTAACATAAATATGTTCACTATCAAAAATAACCGTTAAAACAATCCTTTGACATGGATTATGTCCACTTTACAGATGAAGAAAACTAAACTTAGATGTTAAGTAACTTGCCCAATTGGCGTCACAAACATGATATATAATGGAACCAAAATTTGTACCACATCTGGCTGACTTTAGAGTCCTTACTCTTAGCTATTATTCCCTATTGGTTATAAGTTTCATAATTAAAACAAATACAAATAAAGGGTCAAATTATTACAGCCATTCAAAAAGTAAGCAGTCTTATCAAAAATAATTGTACTTTAATCAACAGTGAGCAGCATCCTTTCCATACTACTGAAAAGAGAGTTCCCTAATCCATTCCTGAATGAATAAATGCTTAGTAGGCAAAACTAAAATTACTTGGAAAATAAATGGTTCAGCTTGTTACAAAACTTTATAAATTTCAATCTTAAAAAAAATCTTTTGATTACAGTATTCCAAAAGATTACCATCTATTTAACCAACATTTTAATGTCTAAATTATCAAGCTATCTCACATTCTAAAGCCAAAGTTATCAATAAAAAAAAGAACGCTTTTTTAAATCTAACAAAATTCTGACTGTAATGCAAAAAAATTTAATCTGTTCCAAGCGCAGATAGGAAAACAAACCTTTGTTTTATTTGAAAAGAATAGTTAATGCATATAGAATCTGACCTATTCTAAGGGAAATTAAATTTAATTCTTTCATTAAACTCTATTTCTAAAAGTTTTCTTTTGAAAAGTTCTTTTAAAACATGTTCAGCCAAGCACCAGTGGCTCACACCTGTAATCCTACTACTCAGGAGGCAGAGATCAGGAGGATCCTAGCTTGAAGCCAGCCTGGGGAAATACTTCATGAGACCCTATCTTGAAAAAAAAAAAAAAACCCTTCACCAAAAAGGGCTGGCAGAGTGGCTCAAGGTGTAGGCCGTGAGTTCAAACCCCAGTACCACAAAAAAATTCCATTCATTACAGAATGCTTGTGAAAAGCAACTTTTAATATAATATCCAAAGAGTGTATTACTTTTAAGATTAAAGACATTTAGATTTTTGTCATAATTTTGTCCAATTTCATAAACAATGCTGACTGCTACAGTGAGCATCCTTGCAGAAAAACTTTTGCCCCCCCAGTCCTACTTTCCTTAAATTCTAAGAACTTATATAAAGTTCTTTTTTTTTAGGCTTTTGGTAAATATTTCTAAATTATTCTCAGTTATACCTCATTAATTTGCTAGCACAGTGAAAATAATTAAATTAGAATACAGTCCAACTGTGTATACAATGTAACTACAATATAGAAAAAGCAGACTTGTATGTACTGACATGGGATGTTCAAGACAGATTAGCAGAAAGAAAAGGCAAGCTACACAACAGCCTTCTTGCACAAATTCCTTTGTGTAGAAAAATGAAGAAAAAGGAAAACCTTTAAAATGATCATATGTACATGCATTCATTTTTAAAACATGCACACATTTCTATGTACATAGAAAAAGACCTGGAAGACCACACATAAAATTTCTAATAGTGCTCACAGTAGGATCAAGAATAGTTTAGGTAGAAGACATTTAAAGTTTGTATTTTATTATTACTTGCATTGTTAAAATAAACATAAAAAGAGAAACTTTAAAAGTAACAGTAACATTACATTAACATTCATAGATTAACAGAGACCCTAAGTCTCTCTGTGGTGTTATACATTAACTAGCATTAACATTATCACCCAAATTTAGAATTTTTGTTTTTATTTATTTGACATTATCCTAATTCTACCTAAATTTGTTTTTAATTCATCAAAACTACACACATTTTACTTCTATCTCAAAGTTTTAAGACACTTCAAGAAAAAGAAAACTTTAGCTATTGATTTTTGATATGAGCCTGTAATCCCAGCTACTCAGAAGGCAGAGATGGGAGGATTTTGGTTTGAGACCAGCTCAGGCAATAAAAGTCAGCAAGAACCCATCTCAAAGAACAAGAGGGGTGTAGTGGTACAAGCCTACAGTTCCAGCTACTCAGGATGCATAAATCTAAAAGGACTAGGCGTGTGACATAAGTGGTAGTGTGCAAGGCACGGATTTCAAACCTCCAGTAATGAAAAAAAAAAAAAAAAAGACAACTCCTGGAGGGTCTCATTACTTCTTTTTCTGTCTTTTTTGTTTTTAACTTTAACATTAAAAAAAAAAAAAAGAGGCAAGTTCTGTTCAAAGCATCACTGAGCCCACTGAGTAGATACCATGATGAGTAAAGCACATACTCCCGAGCTAAAAAAATTTATAGACAAGAAGTTGTCATTGTGGTGGTAGACATGTCCAAGGAATATTGCGGGGATTTGAGCCCTTTATGAATCTTGTGATAGATCAATGGGTACAGATGGCAACTAGTCAGCAACAGAACAATATTGGAATGGTAGTAATACGAGGAAATAGTATCATTATGTTAGAACCTTGGGAACAAATTTAAATGATGACAGTTCAGCAGAGAAATTCACATCCCCTCTCCAAAGGGCCTGTTTTACAATGAAGTAAAAATTGGGTCATGTACATTTTCATATTAACCTTTTTGTTAAATAAACTTTTGTAATAGTCAAAAACAAAAAAAATTTTTAAAGGAAAAATAAAACCCTCCAAATGACTCGTTTGGATAGACAGTAAAGAAAAGAAATTTCTAGCCTTATCCCAGCATTTGCCTTTTTGAGAAAAAAGCCACTTCATAATTGGATTATTTTCTTTTTCCTTGCATATACTTATTCATTCACTGTCACACAGGATTTTAGAAATTTGGATGTCAAGAATATTGTTACCAGGTGTAGTGGTTCATTCCTGTAATTCCAGTTACTTGGGAGGCAAAGATAGGAGAATCATGGTTCAACATCAGTCAGGCTGGGCTAAAAATTAAAGCGACTCTATCTCAAAGAACAACCCAGGTGAAGTAATTAATGTAAAATTCGAGCTACACAGGAGGCTAAGCCCAGCTATGAAGGAGGTGGATATAAAAGACTTTTGGTCTGAGGCTGGCCTGGGCAAAAAGTATTAAGACCCTACCTGAAAAATAAACTAAGCAAAACAGGTGGCGGGGCAGGGGGGGAGCATAGCTCAAGTGGTAGAATGCTAGCCTAGCAAGTGTAAGGCCCTGCATTCAAACCCTAGTATCAATGCCCCTCCCCCCAAAAAAGAATATTACTGATAGTTGTAAACTAAAGGAAAACCACAAAACTTTATTTATATAACATGAAATAGAATAACTCATTAAATAATACAAAGTTTGGGAGGGGACAAGGCATGATGTTAAAATGACATTATTTATGGTAGTGCTTTTTAAAATGGCCACTCTACTAATGTGCTTTATAAAACTCTGGAGATGACAATCTGCACGGGTGGGAATAACTGAAAATAGAATACAAACCAGGAGTGATATTTAGTTCATTTCCTACAGCTAGACTCCAAACTTTTCCACGAACACTAGGGGGCAATCCCTGCCACCACAATTCTCGAACTCTTCTCGTACTACGCCTAGAATTAAAGGAGAAAAAAGGAGAAAGTTACTTTTTATACCAAAAATACTAGTTGCATGATGGTTTACCTATGACCACATGATCAGAAGATCAGACAGTTAAGTATGTAATGTATTTCTTCCCTTGGGTTCATGCTAACAGGCCAGAAAACCCTACATAGTAACTTAAAGATGAACAATAGTAATGTAAAGGGAACTGCCTCTGATAGGTGCCATTTATATTAAAGATACAATATGAGAATCAGAAATATGCAGACAATTATCAAAATACAAGACAAAAGTACCAAAAATAAAATCACAAAGAATCTACTATGTGTAAGGCTCTAGTCTTGGAGGGGCAGTAGCTTGCTGAAAGAGACTAGGCTTTAGAGTCAGACATGAATTCAAATCTAGTTTAGCTATTTGCTAACTGTATAATCTTGGGCAAATTACTTAACCTCTCTAATCTTTCGCTTCTCTGTAAGATAAATGTGAGTAAAAAAATATATACCTTTAAAAACTTCTAAGAATCAAATGTAATTACTTATATTAAGAGTTTAATATATAGGGGGGAAGGGGGGGGACGGGGGAGAAATGACCCAAACATTGAAAAAAAACAAAGAGTTTAATATAATACAAGTCTTCCCTTATCTTCAGGAATATGTTCTAAATCCCTAGTAGATGACTGAAACCACAGACAGTACCAAACTCTTATGTATATTGGTTACATACCTATGATAAAGATGGATTTCCAAATTGGCATTGTAAGAGATTAACAAGAGCTAAGAATAGACCAATTATAAGAATATACCACAATGAAGTTTATGTGAATGTGGTCTCTGTCTCTCAAAATTTTTTATAGTACTTTCACCTTTTCAGTTAAATGAAGTACTTTACAGCTTCCTTTAATCTGAATTGCCAGCATCCCTAATCTTGAGCTTGGGGCCATTAAGCAAAATAAGTATCACTGAATGCAAGTACTGAAACACCACAACAGTAGCTCTGATAACAGAAATGGTGCTAAATGACTAATGGGCAGGTAGTGCATACAGCATGGACATGTTAGACAAAGGGATGATTCACCAACAGAAAACAGCAATAGAGAAATACACTTCTCAAACAGTGCAAAATTTAAAATTTATGAATTGCTTATTTTGGGAATTATCCATTTAATATTTTCAAGCCTCAGTACACTACAAGTAACTAAATTCACAGAAAGCAAAATCATAGATAAAGAGAGACTACTACATTCTGTCACATTTCCAATATTCAAAAAATTTACAATGTACATCCTATAACAGGCATTGCAAAAGATAACCCCAACACTCCAGTCCAGAAGACAAATAAAGCATATTACAAACTATTGTTGAAAAAAAAAAAAAGACAAAATAAGGCAGGAAGTACATTAGTCTCAAAGTGTGATGCTGGGACATTTATAAAAGGGAAAGATCATATATAACATTTTCTTGATTGAGAGGCATGTTAAAAACACTAATATTTGACACTTAATAAATGCATCTTGTAATATATGTATATATTTAATGAGTTCTTTCTACAAATCTGCTATTATAACATCAGTGCATCTTACAAATAATGATATGTTAGAATTAAGAAAATATGATAATCAAGGAGACTAAAAATTCATGAATCAGCTAGCATTTCAGATGGATCTCAAAGAATAGATAAGATTTTTAATAAGACAGAGGATGGTCAGTAAGAAAAGTACGTATCAGAGACTGAGAGACTGATAAAAGCAAAGGCATACCAATAAACATGGAGATTTTCAGGCATTGGTTAATAGTTTAGCCAAAGCATAAGATACATACTGGAAAATAATAAAAATATAGAATCAGTAAGATAAGCTTTTTGGAGACAACTGAACTTCAGGAAAAGTCTGCTTACTTACATTACTTCCCAGTTGGGTAGTATTTCATTGATCCAAATTACCATTGCACTTGCAATGTTTTCTTCCTGTTTAAATCGTTCTTTCATTATTCTTTTTCTTTTATGTGCTTCTTTAATTTCTGTTTTAAATGAGTGAGAATTATTTCAATACAAATGAACTAGATCAAAAAACCCTTTTTTTCTACCTAACTCAAAAGAGGCTTTTTCAAAAAGAATCTCCTGAGGTGGGAGCATGGTTCAAGTGGTAGAGCACCTACCTAGCAAGTGCAAAGCCCTGAGAGTTCAAACCCTACCACCACAAGAAAAACCCCAAACTTCTGATGGTAGAGAGGAAGAGAGGAAGGGATGAAGAGAAAAGAGGGAGAAAATGGCCTTAATTAACATACTTTTAAAATAATCTATTCTATAAAATCCAGGAAAATAATTTCAGGAGATTATTACATCGCATAGTTCTATTGTTGCTTTTATCTATGAAGTAATATCTGTTATGGATTAACTATACAAAAACAAACAACTCCACTATTCATACAAATTTATAAATCTCCTAACATAAACAACATGACATTAAAAAATGATTTTGCCAATAGGCACTATTACTGTATGAACATCTTTTAGTACGGTGTTTCACTTTACTAACTACATTGAAATAAAAAACTCCCTCCAACAAACACATATACAAACAACACACCTCTGATATCAGAGGTCACAGTTTCAGAGCAAGAGGTGCCTCAAACAGAGAAGTGAATTATAAATCAAAAGTTTTATATAACTTTAGAACCAGTGAGAACTTGTAGGGGATCAGATAGCCAAACTATTTTCAAACTGTGTTTCATATATGCCTGAGAAACTGAGGGGCAAGCAGGAGGCCAAGTATGCAGCTCTGCTTTTATTTATTTTATATATGTAGATTCTAAGACAGACATTTTCAGAGAAGGTTCCACTGCTTTAAAAGAAACAAACAATAGTGTTGAAGGAGAAGCTTAAGACCCTAATCTAGGCCAGGAGTAGCGTCTCAAATCTGTAATTCTAGCTACTGAGGAGCAGGGATCAGGAGGATTGCAGTTTGAGGCCAGCCCTGGCAAAAAGTTAGCAAGACCCCATCTCAACCAATAAAAGCTGGGCATGGTGGTGTGCACCTGTTGTCTCAGATGCTCAGGAAGCATAAGTAGAGAGATCACAGTCAGGCTAGCCTGGGCATAAAGGGAGCTCCTATCTCCAACAACAACAACAAAAAAATACAGAGCAAAAAAGGGCTGGTAGCATGACTCAAGTGGTAAAGCATCTGCCTAGCAAGTGCCAGACTGAGTTCAACCCTGATACCACAACCCCCGCAAAAAGAAGGGTGAAAATGTTTGAAATATTTTATGTACTTGTATGAAAATGGAACAATGAAACCTGTTGAAATTGTTTTAATAAGTGAAGGAAATGGATGTGGGAGAATGATGGAGGGAGTGAATCTGACCAAAGTACATTATAAGTATGTATGGAAATGTCACAATGAAACCCCTGTACAACTCTAATGCATGCTAATAAAAAAATTTTTTTTAAAAAGCTCTAATCTAATTAACCTGCTTCCAACATTTTACAGACACTAAGCCTATTCAGAGTATCATAGTCAGTTATAGTATTAAATGGTAGTAAAGTCGTGACCTTCTGATTTCCAAATTTAATGTTATTTCTACCTAATGTTTTTTAGGATCATTTACTTTCAATAAACATTAATCAAATAGTAAAGTTAATGTTAGGAGTCAAAAAACCTACTAGGCATTTTAGAAATATTGCAATTTCTGTAGAGAAGAATAAACTCAACTAATGTTTAAATAATAAGGCATTTTAGAAAGATGTAACTGTCCTTACATATCCTATGTTTACTTTAACATTAAAGAAGCAACTTCATTTCCAAACTACTAACATAAAACAGAACTGTATACTATTATAACATCCCATTCACTTAAATCAAAGGAAAGAGTATCTGTTGTCAATCAGGTATAGGTCTAAAAGTAAATATGCTGTGTAGTATTTGCTAAAAATGTTTATATTTATCCTAACAATGGTGGCTAAATACTATAAATTATCCTTATGATATTTTTGGGTTGGAGAAAAAAATGAATGAATACGTGAATTTATACTCCTAAGAGTACATGTAATTTATATGCCTAACCAAATGACAAAATTGGGATTCTGGAGACTTTTTAACTCACAAAAGCAAATTTTAGCTTCAAATTATATTCTCACAGTCATGTAAGAAGCTATCTTACAATATTAAAATTATTAAATTATAAAATATCAAAAGTCTGAGTACTGTAAAAAATGAAATATATGAATAAATTCATGAATATCTTTATTTATAAATTAAAATGGTTAACAGTCCAAGTTTTATGACTGTAATTTGAAGATTACTTACAGTCTGTTGTCTTTCTCCTCTTACTAGTTTTGTACAAATTCTTACAGAAAACTATCATACTGGGATGACATTTTATTTTTCTTTAAAAACAAATCTAACTATAAAAACAACAGATTTTTAAAAATTCAGCATCAGCTTGAATACTGACAATTTCACTATCCATTCCCCTTTAAAGTTAAGCTGTTAAAATTAGTAAATTAAGTATCTATGAAGCTAAATTTCATACCTCGTTTTTTGGCCTCAGCCACCATCTCATCGTATTCTTGTCGGTGACGTAAAGCTTCTTCCACAGATTTAGCAGGAAGATTTCTAGAAAATAAAAATTAGTTGAGTCAATTTTTAAATGACTGACTTGTGTCTAATTTCTTTTGGACAGTCTATTTTTAAAAATTATCTATGATGTATTAGCAAGTATTTAACTGCTGAGAAGTACCATTTATTCATATGGATGGATATTTGAATTGTTTTGAGTTTGGGGCCATTATGAATAAAGCTAGTATAAGTGTTAGTATCTCAAGTCTTTGTGTGAACACCTGGGTTATTGGTAAGCACAGGTATACCATTATAACGAATTGCCAAACCGCTTTCCTCTAACTAAAGTTTTAAGATGACATTCTCCCTAGAAATTTGATAATCACTTAATCCTTTTTTTGGTGGACTGGGATTTGAACTCAGTGTTTCACACTTGCAAAAGCCGCTGTGTCCTTGAGTAACACCTACAGCTCAATCAAGTCTTTACATATATTACATTTTATCAAGTCAATGGCTTCACAGAATCAGTGATTTAGGTATATAAAAAATGTATTTATATATTATCACTTATTCAAAGTTCTCATAATAATGTCTAGTTTTAGAGATCAGTTTTTTCAACAGTGAGGATGAAGAAAGGTATGTGACAGACTTTCAAATCTGTATTCCCCTCTTTCCCTCTTCTAGGTATGTGTAGAATGGAGAAATAAAGTTTAAGACTTTGATTCAGGCCATAATGGAATAAAAGGGACTGGATTTACCCTTGTCTTAAATAATTTTAAAATGGACAATATATTAACAGTATATATTAACAGTTTTCAGACAATGGTCAACAGACAGCATAATGAGGAAATAAAATAAGGTTAGCTCTTAATGTTCAACTGTCTGGAGTTTCCAGGTCTCTGTGGTGGAAGGAATGCACAAATTGGTCCCATCAGGCTGGCAAGAGAGGCTCAAGTGGCAGAACAACCTGCCTAATGAGACCCTAAGTTCAACCCTAGTACCACCAAAAAAAAAAAAAGACTCCACAAATTGGTCCCATCAACCTTCCCGAGTTAAGGAGACAATGTGGACTTGGGACTCCAGACAGCTTAGAATTTGCAGATCACAGAACCAGAAAGAAGGGAGCTGCAAAGAAGTGCTCCTAAGTCTTTGGCTAAGTACTGATCTGTGTGTGTGTGTGATTAAGCTATGGTCAAGGAAAGAACCACCAGAAAGAAATAGAATATTTTCTCTCTCTTTTTGTTAATTTGGTTAGAATATTTTCAAAAGATCACATAATCGGCTAGAGTCCTAGAATATCAGTGCCTCAAGTACTGAGGACAATCAGCCTTAGGCTAAAGGCTAACCCTGGAACCACTTTAACAAAGATTAGATTAAAAGGATTACGCCAATTCCAAATAAAGACTTATCAACCAATATCACAACTAAAGCCAAAAAAACATTTTCACATGTAAAATTGCAATGCCTTTCATGCAAATAAAAATTAATTGGAGACAATGAGCAGAAAAAATAAAAATGCCATATGGAGAAGAAAAATCAATTAACAGGAGTGATACAGGAATGTTAAGATAACAGAATATAAAACATAAGGATGATAAAGAGCTCTATACTACACACACCCACTCTCTCTCTCTCTCCTCTCTCTCTCTCTCTCTCTTAAAAAAGGTAGAGAAATCAATGAGCCACGGTGAAAAACCTCAAACACTACACCTTTTTTTTTTTTTTTTTTTTTCTTTTATTTATTTTTTCATTTTTATTATTCATATGTGCATACAAGGCTTGGTTCATTTCTCCCCCCTGCCCCCACCCCCTCCCTTACCACCCACTCCACCCCTCCTCTCCCCCCCAATACCCAGCAGAAACTATTTTGCCCTTATTCTAATTTTGTTGTAGAGAGAGTATAAGCAATAATAGGAAGGAACAAGGGTTTTGCTGGTTGAGATAAGGATAGCTATACAGGGCATTGACTCACATTGATTTCCTGTGCGTGGGTGTTACCTTCTAGGTTAATTCTTTTTGATCTAACCTTTTCTCTAGTTCCTGGTCCCCTTTCCTATTGGCCTCAGTTGCTTTAAGGTATCTGCTTTAGTTTCTCTGCATTAAGGGCAACAAATGCTAGCTAGTTTTTTAGGTGTCTTACCTATCCTCACCCCTCCCTTGTGTGCTCTCGCTTTTATCATGTGCTCATAGTCCAATCCCCTTGTTGTGTTTGCCCTTGATCTAATGTCCACATATGAGGGAGAACATACGATTTTTGGTCTTTTGGGCCAGGCTAACCTCACTCAGAATGATGTTCTCCAATTCCATCCATTTACCAGCGAATGATAACATTTCGTTCTTCTTCATGGCTGCATAAAATTCCATTGTGTATAGATACCACATTTTCTTAATCCATTCGTCAGTGCTGGGGCATCTTGGCTGTTTCCATAACTTGGCTATTGTGAATAGTGCCGCAATAAACATGGATGTGCAGGTGCCTCTGGAGTAACAGTCTTTTGGGTATATCCCCAAGAGTGGTATTGCTGGATCAAATGGTAGATCGATGTCCAGCTTTTTAAGTAGCCTCCAAATTTTTTTCCAGAGTGGTTGTACTAGTCTACATTCCCACCAACAGTGTAAGAGGGTTCCTTTTTCCCCGCATCCTCGCCAACACCTGTTGTGGTGGTGTTGCTGATGATGGCTATTCTAACAGGGGTGAGGTGGAATCTTAGTGTGGTTTTAATTTGCATTTCCTTTATTGCTAGAGATGGTGAGCATTTTTTCATGTGTTTTCTGGCCATTTGAATTTCTTCTTTTGAGAAAGTTCTGTTTAGTTCACTGCCCATTTCTTTATTGGTTCATTAGTTTTGGGAGAATTTAGTTTTTTAAGTTCCCTGTATATTCTGGTTATCAGTCCTTTGTCTGATGTATAGTTGGCAAATATTTTCTCCCACTCTGTGGGTGTTCTCTTCAGTTTAGAGACCATTTCTTTTGATGAACAGAAGCTTTTTAGTTTTATGAGGTCCCATTTATCTATGCTATCTCTTAGTTGCTGTGCTGCTGGGGTTTCATTGAGAAAGTTCTTACCTATACCTACTAACTCCAGAGTATTTCCTACTCTTTCTTATCAACTTAAGAGTTTGGGGTCTGATATTAAGATCCTTGATCCATTTTGAGTTAATCTTGGTATAGGGTGATATACATGGATCTAGTTTCAGTTTTTTGCAGACTGCTAACCAGTTTTCCCAGCAGTTTTTGTTGAAGAGGCTGCTATTTCTCCATCGTATATTTTTAGCTCCTTTGTCAAAGATAAGTTGCTTATAGTTGTGTGGCTTCATATCTGGATCCTCTATTCTGTTCCACTGGTCTTCATGTCTGTTTTTGTGCCAGTACCATGCTGTTTTTATTGTTATTGCTTTGTAATATAGTTTGAAGTCAGGTATTGTGATACCTCCTGCATTGTTCTTTTGACTGAGTATTGCCTTGGCTATTCGTGTTGTGAAGGGTTTTTTGAGAGAGGGTCTCTCGAACTATTTGGCCCAAATCCTGGTTTTCAAACCCACAATCCCTCCTGATCTTTGCCTCTAAGTAGCTAGAAATTACAGGCATGAGCCACCCTTTTGCCTGGCGAAACTTTTACTTTTCTTTTTATGGCACTGGGATCCAATCCAAGTCTCAGGCATCTAGGTGCTGAGCATTAAAGCTACTGTCCCAGACATACACTTTAGCCATTTGCTCACGTTATTTTTCAGACGTGGGTCGCTTTTGCCAAGAAGAAGCCTATCTGTGCCTCCCAACCTAGCTGGGATTTATAGGTGTGATTTGTTTTTGTTGAGATAGGGTTCCTTGCTCTAACCTTCTGCACAGGCTGGCCTCAAAATTTGGTGATCCTCCAGATCTCCTGCCTCCCAAATACTTTGTCATTATAATTGTCAAGCCTTTCTGCACCTGATCTTAAAAACAATGTCCTGTTTTCTTCCCTTTCAATGTTCTAAAATATGTTCTATCCTCCGCCTTTTTGCTCTAGATTCTTTAATTATGTTCATCAAAATAAAAACTGCAGACCAAGGAAAAATGAACAAGAAAGGCTAGGAGTTATAGAAGAAAAAGAAAAGAATCCAGAAAGCCCAGAGAGTAGGAAAGGAGTTTAAGAAAACAAACAGTCTTGCTTTTAGGGAATGTATGTTTTGTTATTAAATAAATCAACAATATTTTTGACAACAGCAGCACTGTGAAAAACTACAAAAGAAGGAACAGAGCTTTAAAAAAAGACATGCAGAGCTAGGGAAAAAAAAGAAATTTAATGATTTGCTGGGTAATTGGAGAACTAGATTCTTGCTCTGGGTTTAACCCAGGGTTGTGCATATGCTAGACAACACTTCTATGACTGAAGCTACACTTTCCAGCGCCTAAGAACAGATTCTTTTTTTTTTTTTTATGATACCCCGGACAAGGAACTCAGGGCCTCATGCTTGTTAGTCAGGCGCTCTAACCCCTTGACGTTTTTACTGACAACAGCCCTTTTTGTGGGCTATTTTTTGAAAATAGGGTCTTGCTTTTATGCTAGGGTTAGCTAGACTAAACAATCCCCTATTTGTGCTCCTAAACATAGCTTAGATGACAGATGCAACACAACATGCTAGCGTTTACTGGCTGAGATGGGGTCCTCCAATGGACTTTTTTGCTTGTCAAAAAAGTGATCCTTCTGATCTCTGCCTACCAAAGTTGCTAGTATTAAAAGGCTTGAGCCCACCTCCCTGGCTACAGATTTGTTTGTTTGGGTTTTGCAAGTGCTGGGGGAATGAACCCAGGAACCTCAATCGCTAAACAAGCTCTAGACCACTGAGCTAAGTCCCCAGCACTAGAATCTTAATATAATAGTAACCAGCTGGTTGACACTGGGATACTCCAGCAGTTACCTGGTACAAAGGCAAGATGGATTACATCTTAAAATACATAACTAAATGTCAAGAAATTTTGAAAAATAACCTGCAACTATTGTATTATGATAGGGAGCATGGAACCTGGAAGCAGAAGGGCTCATGTCTATAATCTTCAGCTCTTAGGAGGCAGAGATTAAGCAGGATCAAGAATTCAAATGGCCACCCCAGGCAAAAAAGTTTGTGAGACTGCATCTCAATAAACCAGCCTCGGTGTCTATAGTCCTAAGCCATGCCAGAGACTACAGACCCCTGGCCAAAAACCATAAAACCCTATCTAGAAAAATGATTAAAGCAAAACAGGGCTAAGAAGGTGGTGGCTCAATAATAGAGGATGCCCTAGCAAGTATGAGGCCCTGAAGTCAAACCCCAGAAACCTCAAAAAAAAAAAAGTGTTCAAATAGAAGCAGATAAATGAAAGCTAAGTTGCTTTGGTTTTCTTTTTGAACCGATGAAGCCTGCTATATTCCCAAGTCAAATCTCAAATTGACTCAGCTGCCTGAGGAAGCAGGGACATCCTTGGCAAAAGTCCAAGTTTTTTTTTCCTATAAGGGCTCATAGACACTTCTAGAGTAATAATGCAAAAGATTTGGACATCAAACAACATGTTCTCCCAATTGTTTTAGGATACGTGACAAGGATTTAATTTTTTTAAAAAAATCCTTTCCTGTATCTAAATTTCTCAATATTTTTTATGTGGAATAATGAACACCAGTTTTTTAAGTCCTAAAGTTTAAAATTAACCACTGTTTCTTGATGATCACTTAAATATTTACGATGGTCGATCCTCAAGATCAGGGCAGTAAGTAGAAAGTGGCTCAAATTCCAAAAATTCTTACGTCTTGAAGACGAGGTGGTGGCTTTACAGGTCATTCCCTGTTTTCGTGCTTCATAATCCTAGAATAATATGAGGATATAATCATGTAGAGACTTTTCTAATTCTCATTTTAATATCATAAATATTATACCACTAAGGGTATACACTATTAATGAAGTAATATACTAGAAATTCATACTTTAATTTGGCAAAAACATTAGGAAAGACAAAAACAAGGTTTTTTCTTGGAGCAACCTAAATTATGATTTATATCATATAAAAGTATCCAAAGTGTGTAGAAGAAGAAAAAAGCCAATAAATGCACTTAGATTATTTTAGAAAGGTTTTAGGACACATTTATTGCATCCTAATGGTATCAAACTATCCAAAGTCTAAAACCCGAATAATCTACAAGCAGATAAACCTACTTTCTTTAGCCAGATCAATGAAAGGAAAATGTGAAACATAAGAATACAGAACCAATCCCATTGTAATGCCTCTGAAGAATATTTTTGCACAGGTGACAGTGGGAACCTTTAATCATGGTGATTTTAAAAGATTTCAATCTAAACTGTGGCTCTAACTACTACAAATATTACATGCTTACTCTAATTTAAACACTTTACCAACATACTTTCACCTAAAAATCATGAACCAAAACTCATATTCTTTTCCTAAAATTTAAAAGAAACATTTTCTGTATTTCTCTATTCCTTGAATCTGATAATCCTATTAAGAGAAATGTTTAATGGACCAAGCATGTTTTAGTGGAACCATATTTTAAATTAACTCCAATTTTGAGCAATTACTTTTCACATATTTTTCACAATTATGAAATTTTATTGTCTAAGAAATTGCCAAAAGATTCAGTAAACAAGTTTTACCATAATAATTTTCCAGAACTGCAATTTTCCTAATTTCTAAAAAAAAGCAAGCTATGCATCTGGTCATCTACAGGTAACTAAATAATATCCTTCCATGAAATTCTCAAACATTACTCAATTTCATCAGGCAATGCCTGGCTATGTCTGTTATTCTAGCTTACTTGGGGAGGCTGAAATTGGGGAGGATTGAGATTTGAGAACAAGTCTGAGCAAAAAGTTAGTAAGACCCAAATCTCAACAAAACCACCCAGCCATGTGACAAGTGCTTGTCATTAACAGCTAATTGGCTTACATAACAGGATTTTGTGGTCTTGAAGATGCCTTGGCAAAAAGTAAGACGCTGATCTGAAAAATAATGAAAGCAAAAAGGGACCATGGCTTAGGTAGATAGAATACCTGCCCCAAGCCAAAGAACCAAGTCAAATCTGAGTACCACCAAAAAAAAAAAAATCAACCGAGTAAGTAGAGATTTAAAATAACCATAACAACAAAATGAAGCAGATAGAATACCATTTAACTTATCTTCCTAAGGAACCCAATGCTTTGTACAGAATTGGTCCCTAAAACATTTTCTACATGAAAAAAGTTGTGTTTCTAGCATTTCCTAAACATACAATTCTTTTAATAAATGTAAAGTGCTGTAAACTACTTGACAATACGATTTCCACACCCTAAGAAAACTCATATATTGCTGAATTAAAGATTCATTCCTAATGTAATTAAAACTGCAATTAAATACTAAGAAATTAGTAAATATTTAAAACAAGTAATAATTACAAAATTGATTACAAGGTGAAAGCCTACAACTTAATTAACTAAGAATATTTTTTAAGAATGCCTAATTCAAATGGGTTTAGGTTGGTTTTACTAGAATTTTTAGGTCTAAATATTTCCATACATTTACTTAACTCAGGAACTGACCAAGAAGTTAACGCTTTCAAGAGGCCCCACGTCTTAACCTATATTCTCAGCTCTGCCTCCTCCATGTGACTTGAATAGTAATTAGAAATTTAGATTATACATCATTGATTTCAAACTATGCTCTTTAAAAAAAAAATTCTTCAGTGAGACAGGGTAAACTTTCAGAGAAAGAATAGGGTAAAGACTCCTCTTGGTGAAACCTGGGGTAATTCAACACCCAATTTTTTCTTGCCTGAAAACAACCTCTGTAATCCCCTGACAAATGGGACACAAACCAAGGTAAACCAAATGATCTTACTTTGTTCTTTCTGAAAGTCCTGTCAAAGTCAGAACTATATTTATAACAAAAGGCAAAAAGAAACAAAAATAACCGAGTAAAAAACAAGAGAGAGTATTTTCCTAAATTATTTTATAAAGAGCCTCAATACTATAACCAAAAACCACATAAAGAAGTACCAGAAAACTATAGACCAAATAACTCCAACGAACCATAAGAAAAAAACCTTAAAAAATGTTAGCAACTGAATTTGACAATGTATTAAAAAGAATTATATACTGCAACCAAGTTAAGATTTTTAATCTAGGTATGAAAAAACTAATGCCCAAAACATTCAAAAATCAAATTAAGCATCATCCACCACATCAACAAGGCCTTAATGAAGAAAAAAAATACACGATCCATTATCAACAGATGAAGAAAAGCATTTGACAAAATCTAAACCTCTATTTATGATAAAGGCGCTCAAGTAAACTAGAATAAAGGAGTAACTTCCTTAACTTGATAAAAGAACATTTACAAAACCTAAACCTAACATTATACTTAATTGTGAGAACTAAAAACCTTTCTCAGTAAGATCAGTAACAAAGCAAGTATATCTCATCTCACCACTTGCTTTTTTAACATCATTCTGAAAGTTCTAGCTTAATCCCAAAAAGGCAGGAAAAGAAAATACAAGTTACAGGTATTGGGAAGGAATAAATGAAAACTGTATCCATAGATGACTGAATCACTTATGGAAAACAAGTCCAAAAGGAAATCAATGACAAAAAATATCTTCCTGGAACCTTAACAATAGTTATAACAAGGTTAACAGGATATAAAACTAATGTACAAAAGTCAGTCATTTCTTACCATACCAACAAGGACATGGAAATTTAAAATTACAAACATTACATTTATCATTGCATCAAAATTATTTGAAATATGTATAGAATCTACAAATATGTAAGATCTAAAGGAAAATACAAAACCTAAATAAACATAATATTCCATGTTTATGAAATAACAAGAACTCATTTGTCAAAATGTCAGTTTTTTCCCAAATTGATCTATAAATTCAAAACAATTTTCAATCAAACATTCAAGCAAGTTATTTTGTGAAAAAAACTAACCCTCAAGTTTCGTATGGAGATGGCAAAGCAAATCCAGAATAAACTCAACTCAGTAATTGAAGGATAAGTCGAAGACTGGCAACTTTCCAAAATACAAGACTTAGCATAATAACTACATAATCAAGACAGTTGGTGGTATTGTTAAAACAATAGGGCAAATAGGTCAAATGGAACAGAATATAGATCCAGAACCTAAATCCATATAATATAGAACAGACCTGATCTTTGACAAAGGATAGGCAGAGTTGGTTCAATGCCTATAATCCCATTTATTCAGAAGGTAGAGGACTGGGGGATCACCATTCAAGGTCAGCCCAGGCAAAGAGTTGTGAGACCCCCCATCTCAACCAACAAGCCACATGGAGGTTCATGCCTGTAATCCTAGCTACACAAGAAGGCACAGGTAGGAGGACTGCCAGTCTAAAGGGCCAGCACCTGGGAAAAAAAGCAAGACCTATAAGAAAAATAACTAAAACAAAAAGGGCCTGGGGGTATGGATTCAAGTGGTAGAGTGCTGCCTGGCCAAAAACTGCAAGGGCGCTGAGGTTTCAAACACTAGGTACCACTCCCCCCAAAAAAAGAAAAGAAAAAAAAGGAGCAAGAGATTTGTCCCTTTTCAACAAATGAAACTGGAACTAAATATCTGCATACAAAAAAAAATGAAATCCTATGTACAAAATCATCAACAAAAATTAACTTCAAAATGGGACCACAAGACTTAAATAATAAATTCAAAAGTAATAAATGTCCCTCGGAAGGTAACATAGGAAAGAAAAAACCTAGAATGAAACTTTGAGTCAAAAGACCTTTTTTTTTTTTTTTTTTTTTTTTTTTGGTGGACTGGGGTTTGAAATTCAGGGCTTCACAATTTTGCAAAGAAGGCACTTTGTACTGCTTGAGCCACACCTCCAGTCCATTTTTCACTGGTTTATTTTGGAGATGGGGGCAGTGAACTATTTGCCCCTGACAGTCCTCCAAAACATTATCTCTCTTGATCTCAGCCTCCCATGTAAGTAAGAACCAAAATAAAAATTATTAGTAAGCTGGGAGTTCATTAAAATTAAAAACTTCTGCTCTGTGAAAAATAAGGTCAAGAAATGAGAAGATAAACTAAGACAGGAATAAATAATTTTGCCAAAGACAATCTGACAAAGAACTGCTATCCAAAATAACAAAGAGCTGTTGGAATTCAACAATAAAAAAAATCAAACAACCAATTTAAAAATTGGCAAAGACTTACCACCCCTCACCAAAAGAGATAAAACAAGAAGGCCAAGTGAGCAATAAGGAAAAGATGTTCACATTATGTCCCATTAGGGAAATGCAAAGTTTTAAAACAAAGATACCCATAAAATTACTTAACGAGAACACCTAAATCCAAAACCCTGAAACACTAAATGCAGGAAAGGATGTGGAACAAGAGCTCTCACTCCTTGTTAGTAGTAATGCAAAACAGTACAGCCACTTTGGAAGCTAGTTGAACAGTTTCTTGTAAAAGTAAACATATACTTAGCATGTGATTCAGCAATCACACTCATTATCTACTGAAATGTACTAAAACCATATGTACACACAAAAACCTATACATTGATGTTTACAGGAGCTTTATTTATAATTGCCCAAACTTGGAAGAAGCCAAGACGTCCTTTAGTAGGAGAATGTGATATACCCAGACAATGGTACATTATTCAGTGCTTTAAAAAAATGAGCTATCAAGTCATAGAAAGACATGGAGAAACTTAAATGTATATTACTAAGTGAAAATAGGCCCACCTTAAAAAAAGCTACAGACATACTATATGGTTTCAACTACATGACATTCTGGAAAAGATAAAACTATAGAGACAGCAAAAGAGGGAAGGAGGAATCAACAGCCAGAACAC